TTTTTTTTTTTTTTTTTTTTTTTTTTTTTTTTTTTTTATTTCCGGGTTATTTTGCTGCCTTTAGCCCATAACATTGGCGGTGGGATGGAGAGATTATTTGAGGTTTCGGCGTTGGGGAGAGCGATTTTCTTGATGTTCAAATCATACATACCATTTAGCATTTGACTTTCTTACATTGTTAACTATTGATTTCTTGAGTCCGGGCAGAGAAGAATTTTCCCATTGGATCTCTCTCTCCAGGGGTGGATTGTCGTACCTATCCATTATTATAATGAGTCATTTAATTGAAGGGGTTGTTGGGTGCAGCTGGACCTTGCATAGCCATCTGCACGTCCGCCAATTTTTGATACATCGACGGCGTGACTGGATTGGATTTTGGTCTCTCCGCGTTCCTGACCGACGTCACTTTCCGGCTGACTCAGCCCGCCCTCTTCACCGCCCACAGTTTGGGAGTCTAAGCCGCGGGGGTGGTCAAAAAAGGGATAAAAAACCAGAAGAAAAGGAAAAAAAAAAAAAAAAAAAAAAAAAAAAAAAAAAAAAAAAAAAAAAAAAAAAAAAAAAAAAAAAAAAAAAAAAAGACGACCAAGTGTCGCACGACCAGGTATTCTGCTTCCTCAAGATCAGGCATCGATCGGTTGTCTTCCTCCACTGAACCCCAACCAACGAGGAAGTTGAAAAAACTGAACTTGTTCTCTTCGTAGTTCAGACCACCGAGTGTCTCGAAGAAAAGATCTAACATTACCCTCGTCCTGTTCGGTCTCGTCCGTTCGCTCAGATTCTGCGAACGAGCCCAACCCAATCTGGAACTAAACCGAAAAGCGTCAACCACTCCCGTCGCTTTACGCCCCACGACTTTTTCTCGGGCCCACACACCGAACAGCAATTCAGAAAGAGGGCAATAAATATCAGGATTCAACCTGCACGCCTGTTGACCCCACGTCAACATAAATTTCTGTCTTTCGAGTCCACCAGTGCTCTGCTCTTCTTCTCTCCTCTTCGCTGGCGCAATTGATAACCCGAATCTCCATCTCTGGCAATTCCTCAGTGAGCACTTGCAGATGTCCAGACTCGTAGCGTCTCGCGACAACTTGCTGCTCTAAGCTCTATTGCATTTTAGCCTTCTATGAGCCCGAAGGATTTACTGCGATACCTGTCCAAGCCTGCGAAGTAGGTTCTCCCTGGTGGTGACGGTCTTGGTGGTGGACGCAATGCTAATCCCACTGGCACCTAGGCCCCGATAACGCGACTCACGCCTTCCCACTCTTCGCCAACTTCCCTTATTTCAAATTAGAAAAAGCAGATATCCTCGTCTGCTAGACCCGATACTTTTACCGGTATCGGTATCTTCCAGTACGAGGGTTTACGACTGATAGTCACCATTCCTTTCGCCAGAGGCATTTTCCTCCTTTCCCTCTCTTTTCGCCCTCCCTAGCAGCCTTTCAAGGCTTGTATTGATCCCTACCTTTCTGGCTGTGTGCCACGTTCACCCGACTCGTTAAGGGCCTTCTCTCTCAGGCGGACATCCCCCCCTGTTCGTCTGGGCAGCAGACAGTGCTTCCTAGGCTTTCTTGTCTAAGGTCCACGAATCGAGCGCGTCGCTTGACTGCACATCTTAAATTCATACTATTGTCACCAGTTCGCCTCTCAATCTCTTAAGTAGCCAAGATGGTTTACATTGGGATTCCCAAGAATTATACGCAGTCGCCATCCTCGTTTATGGCGACCCCGTCTCTAACCATCAACCACGAGGTGACACAGGATCTTGACTCTACCAACGCCTTCGAAGGTACGTCGTGCACGATCATGTTCCGACCATGCAATGCAGAATCTAACGAGAAACAGGACCCGAGAAGCTTCTAGAGGTCTGGTTTGCCCCGTCCGCCAATGAACTGGGCTCGTCTCAACCTACCGGCCTAAAGGCCGTGCCCGAGGAGGTCTGGAAGGACATGCTAGATCTTGTCAATTGCCAGGTGCTTTCCATTGTCTCGTCCGAGGACGTCGATGCGTACCTTCTGTCAGAGTCCAGCATGTTCGTCTGGCCCCACAAGCTTATCCTCAAAACATGCGGCACCACCACTCTGCTCTCCGGATTGCCCCGCATTCTTGAGATTGCTGCTCTGTTCGCCGGTTTCCCCAAGTCCGCGGCTCCTTCCGGCAGGGCTGGCATTGCCGCTGCCCCGTACCGGGTGTTCTACAGCCGCAAGAACTTCCTGTTCCCTGACCGCCAGCGTGGTCCCCACCGCAGCTGGAGGGACGAAGTGCGAACCATGGATAGGCTCTTCTTGAACGGCAGCGCCTACATGATTGGCAAGATGAACGGCGAGCATTGGTACCTATATCTGACCGAACCCAACACCTTGCTTACGCCCCCGGCCAGTCCTAAGGGTGATGAGGAGGTCACGGAGACCAAGTTCCTCCAGATTCCGGAAGGTGGTTTGCCGCAGGGAGATGATGCCAATGATGAGACGCTTGAGGTGCTAATGACCGACTTGGATGAAGAGAATGCCAAGCAGTTCTATCTTGACAATGCCACCGCTGTTGCTGAGAAGCGCTACCGCAACTTTGACAAGGAAAACAGCGACCACGTCGATGTGTTCAGCAACAACTCAGACATGGATCTGGAGGACACGGATGGAACCCGCATTCTGCCACCGGAACTGACTACGGAGGGTCACGCCTTGGGAACTGTCGTGTCCGAGTCTTGCGGCCTTTCGGATGTCTATTCCAAGGAGCAGTTCCCCGAGTCGCGCATTGACGCCTACCTGTTTACTCCCTGCGGCTTCTCTGCCAACGGCGTCATCCCGTCTCCGGACCCGAAGGCCAACACCCACTACTTCACGGTGCATGTGACGCCCGAGCCTCACTGCTCCTATGCGTCCTTCGAGACCAACGTGCCGCACTCGCAGAACGGTCAGACCACTGCGGGTATTGTGAAGCAAGTGGTGAACATCTTCAAACCGGGCCGCTTCACTGTGACTCTGTTTGAGAACAAGCCCAGTGATGCCGAGCTGAGCGGCATCGGCGAGGCCAAGTACATCGAACGGCAGGCAGCCCGTCGGAAGTCTCAAGTGGAGCACATCGAAGGATACCGTCGGGTGGATCGCATCGTTCACGATTTGGATGGTTATGACCTTGTCTTCCGCTACTATGAGCGGCTGGACTGGAAAGGGGGGGCTCCTCGACTCGGAGAAGAGCGCATCTAAGGGGGGTCAATCCATCCGTCGTGCGATCTGTTGATTCATCGGAATTGAAATTGCTTTGTTACCACTGTCTCTTACTTCTCATGTTTGTTTCTTGCTTCGTTGGATTTTTACCGAGCCAGTTCTGTTGAGTTTTTACTGTTTCAAAGCTACTATTCTGACGTTCATTGAGTATCATGGCCTGCATGGTTTTTCGGTTAATCAATATTTATTTGGTGTGTCAGCAACATGGCCTGAACAAGGGTAAAATAGTCGCCTATGATCTTTTCCGTAGCTGCAACAATCCCTTCCGATGCTCTTCGCATTTATGTAAGCTCTAGTACGACTATTTAGAAGTAGCCATCACCTCTCTCCTGGTAGGCCTCTCTGCTGGTGGATATCTTCTGTGTCTATTGATATAGGTATTGATGCTTCACGGTAAGCAGACGTAGGATTTAACCCCAACGTATTTTTTTTAAATGTTCCAGTATTTTAAATATCACTTGGACCACCTAGATTCAGTTGATGAATCTCACATCCATTCCGCTAGTGAAAGAAGGAATAGATAGCATTGAATTCAACCATCACAGATCTTAGGTAGTATTTTAAGTAGTGCATACTGGATACCCCAGGCACACAACCTTACCATAAGAGGACTAGCGTGACGGGCGTCAAATCAGTTATCGGACCTTTGATAGTGAACCTTCGATACATACCTCAACTTTCAAGTCAACAACACCCAGTGAGCGATCTCGATAAGCTCCAGCACATCCCCCCCCCGGAACCGACATAGACCCCGAAATAGCAGAGAACAACTCACCATGTCATCACCGCCGCCAACGAACCCCCTAAAACGCCCCTCGATCTCATCCTCCGCCTCCCTGCCGCTCGGCACCAACCCTAAACGACCACGCATGCACCCGCTCCGCCAGACTTCCTTCCCGACGACGATCGACGCGGATTCGCGCGGATATGGCGCGGCTAGCGATGCGGGCAGCGTGACGGGCAGTTTCACGGGGAGTCTGGGGGGCACGAGCGCGGACGGTGTCTTTCGGAACAAGAAACGCGGGCGCAAGAGTAAAGCGGAGAAGGAGCGCGAGAAGGAGGATGCGGCGAGAGGGGAGATGCGGTCGTCCGTGGATGCGGAGGGGTCTGTGAGAGCTGGTGCGACGGGCGGTGGAGGCGGAGATGATGGGGATGATGACGAGGATTTCGAGGATGAAGGGGAACTGCTGGGAAGAGAGGAAGGCGCTACGGATACGGAGGCGGAGAAGAAAAATCTTGCGTATGTCTTTTCTTCCAGCCATTTATTGTTTGATATGTCCGAGATGAAGTTGCTAACTGGTTGGTACAGATTGCTGGTCGATGCTTTTAATCCTTTACAGTCCGAGCGGTACGATCTGTTTAAACGAGCGAAGCTGAGGAAAGAGACCTTGCGGCGTATTGTGAATCATGCGCTATCACAGTCCGTGCCGGCGAGTGTGGTGACTACGATCAACGGGTTTACGAAGGTGTTTGCAGGAGAGATTATTGAAAAGGCTCGGACGGTGCAGGCTGAATGGGCGGAGGCACACGATCAGGCTGCGATAGCTGCTTTTGAGGCTGAAGAGGCCGCGACAATGGCGCGAGCTGCGAATGCGTCGGCTCCTGGCACTCCAGGTCCCGGTACGCCGGGCCCCGGCGGACTGCCTCTAGTGAAACAAGAGTCCTCGAATCCCTCGTCTTTCCCGTCTACACGTGCCCCCGGGACACCGGTCCCATCCGGCGTAGCAAGTCCGCAGCAGTCGGTAAACGGCACTGCACAACCTACACGGGAGCGGATATTCAAGATGCCTCCTAATCCCCACCGGGGACAACTACTTCCGTCGCATTTGCGAGAGGCTTTACGGCGCTGGAAGCGGGATGGAGAGGGAGGCGGTGTCGGGTTCTCCGGACTGAGTATGGGCAATCTGGGAGTTCGGGGATCGGTGACGTGGGGAGCAGGCAGTATTGGCGGGCGACGAATTTTCCGCTAAAAGTACACGGGTTTCTCGATTAGATCTCTTTTATGGCGTTACGAAGGGCGCAATCACTTGAGCTCTGAAACACACTTATGGCCGTCTTGTGACGTTCAGTTCCTGGAACTGGAGCATCTATCGTCTTCTCATTTGAAAAGATACACTCACCCACGGTGCCTCCTTACGAATCTCGGCGGTCAATCGATTTGGGAATCACCTGTTATGGAGCATACATATGAACAGTGGAACCCACCGACACGCTCCTGGTATACCAGAGATAACATCGCTCCGCACTCACAGGTTATCAATGAGCGCCACAAGGCCAACTGAGCCTCCTTAACCGAGTTCTACGTCAGGGAATACGCTGTGCTTCCGGCATTTCCTCTCGTCCAGCGACTCAATATCATAGTACATATTAGATCTTTAATGACATAATATAACATCTAATTCATCCACTGAGGGGAAGAGCTTCTCTTGGCCTGAGACGACCACGAATGGACGTGAAACATCCACGCCCCTTGCAACAAATCAGGACGCCAACTCATGCGTCCTACCCACCGTAGTCAACTCCACAGGATTAGAAGGATTCTTCCATTGCTCCGTCTCACGCTGTTGAATCCCATACAGTGAGTTACTTCCAGCCGCGGACGAAGCAACAACCCCATTTCCCCCAGCCCAACCTCCAGCCCCAACACCACCACTACCACCACCAGCCGCAAGACTCTTCGTTCTAGCCCTCCTCTCCCAGAGCGCCCAAGCGATCGCCCCCAGAGCAATGACCCCTAAGGGCACACCAACCCCAGCCCCAATAGCGACCTCCCTCGAGTTCGAGCCCGAGGACGACGATGACGACGGCGACGGCGACGGCGACGGCGACGACGTGCTATTCGACGCGGTACTGGACGCACTCAGCGACGACACGTTCGCCAGCGCCGCATACCCTGCCACAAGGGTAGCATCCGGGACGAAGAACGGACTGCCCGAATCAGAACTACAGGTCACCTGGGAGCCGTGGCTTACGGGGTCGTTGCAGCAGTATTCGGCTAGCTTGTTGCTGTTGAGTCCTATTGGGAAGAGCGAGGAGCCTGAGCTGCGGGAGACGTTTGCTATTGTATTTTGTTAGTATGTTATCGGGTCTCCTTTAAAAAAAAAAAAATCTGACATGATGATGTTCGACGATAAATTGGGTGTAGACAAAAAACAACTCCATATGTTCCAGGACGGGATGAAGAATTACATACTACAAAACTGCGGACAGTTGTCCGAGTTCCAGTTCGGATCTGTACAGGCGCCCCGCGACAGCACGTAGGGTTGGATGGCGACGTTGAGACACAGGTTATTCGACAGACACAGATTCCCGGAGCGGCAGCAGGGCGCGTATTTCTCGTCGGAGCAGGGGACGTCCTCTGTTGCGGGCGTGCCGTCGGGCCAGTAGCATGTTTCCGTGCTGTATACCGATCGGACTAGCAGGAGGAAGAGGAGATATAAAAGTGGAGGGCGATTCATGATGGGTTGTTTTGGGGTTTGATCTATAGGGACTATGGCGTGGGAAAGCATGAAGTCGATATACCCTGGTCGGGGTGTGGGGGGCTCTCTGTCAAATTTATTTACTTATTTATTTTATTTAGTGTCAGATTCTCTGACAGAAAGGCGCTTAGCGATTGCTGAGCTGACGCTGGAATCGACATGCAGGAGGCATTTGCCAATCGGAGGGGAAGCTATCGCCATTGCAGTAATGCATTGGAAGATCTTCATTCGCGGCGGTATCGGTAATTCCATTTCTCAAGGCTTGACTATGTAACACCCCAATCACCTTGCATTTAGATTGTGAGGCATTGCTTGTTTCTTCTTGGGGGCCAAAAAGTGACCCGTTCTCGGATCCCTTCCACTCAATCCATTCAATCCATTCAATGATCCCCCCAAAGGTAGAAATGTATTAGTCCTCTCTGTCAATCTGATCAGCCTCTCAACATTTCGACAAGAAGACATATACTATACAAACTTACCATACTGAATGACGATATCAACCAGGGTAATTCGCAACGGAACGCCGATCAAGAGTAGTGTCACAGCCATTCAAACATGGATGATTCTGAACGCAATAGGCTCCCTGGCATCCTGTAGTCCATGACGGCGTGCACGTTGATCGTCGAGACGGATCAGTCTTCTACGGATGACCTCCACTATGAGGATGATGATGATGGTGGAGACGAGCAGTTCGATCCACTGCACCAAGAACCCGTTGTATTCGCCTTCAAGGTTCATCCTGGATAGATATTAGATTTGTCCCGGCATTAGACATGAGCTGGACGGGATATGGGGAAAGCTTAGCCATCTATCAGGCTTCCTTGTCTTACATGTCACTGGGAATCGTTGAAGTACTTATTCCTATACCCTACCAGTCAGTTCTTTGTTGAACGCATCTGATTCTGGTTTGTATACTCACCAAAGAGAATAATATCAGAGCAGATGTTCACTAAGAGATAGTATCCAAGAGTCCTCATCGATGAGAGTGAGACAAAAAGAAAGCTGGCAAGAACATGTCAATGAAAGGATTCAGTTCTCGGCACTTATATCACGACAGTCACTGTCAAAGCGACTCAGCAACGAGTCAGCGAGGATGTGCAAACTACACACATGAAACTCATCACAGCAAATACGGACCTCACATTGACCTTCGTACACAGCGTGCACTGTGGTATCCATCATTCACATGATGGCAAACACGCTCCTTTGTTGTCTCTTGCAGTCTTTCATGACTGTGTTCTCTCAGCGGTTGCTCAATGTGTTTAATTACCCGGTCAGTAAGATAATCGTCGTCCGACGCTTCTGGTCGGCCGTGCCTTTTTCTGGGCTCCGGGAGGTCTGCATCCGGATCTACAATAAATCGGCGTGTCATCAAGACACGGCCACGATCCCGCTCGGAGCAAAGCCTATATCGGACCCAGAGCAGAATCGCAAGGTGGCGACAGTGATTTTCCTGATTGGTAAGCTAAAAGTTGTGCTCCCGCTCGAACGGACTCATCTGATTAAGGCATAGGAGGTCCGGGCTCGGGGAAGAGTACTATTGCAACCAGGCTTGCTGCAGATCTGGGTCTCATCCATCTTGATCCCGACGAGATCATTAGTCGTCTAGGAATCGCCGGCCCCGAGGACGAGTGGCTTGCGGTAAAAAACACTATGGACGAGAACGGAATTGTTCCCGACTATATAGTCAGCCTTCTCTTGAAGATAGAAATATCCAAGCATCTAAACGCACACCAGAATATGTTTCTGATCGAGGCCTTTCCCCGGTCATACGCGCAGTTCATGGAATTCACCAGCGTGAGTCAGCCCTAAGTGCTGAGACCCTCCTAACCGCGTCATTAGATCTGTGGCTACGGGCTTACGATCAGCCTTGACGTGTCCTCTGCCACATTGATGAGACGCTTCATGTTAGAGACGAAATCATTCTCGGAGAAAGTGGCCCAAATGGAGGATTTCCTCAAACGCGAAGACGCTTTTGCTGGCGCAGAACTTGCTCTCTACCCACACGCCGATTTCACCAATGGCCTTGTCAAGGTACGTGAAGCAGATTTTGCATGCTGCTTTGAAGCGGACCCTGATCAGCGACAGGTTTGCGCCGAGCTGAAGGTCGAAGAATTTTACCCACATCTGAAAGATCTCGTCGCGGTATGACCAGGGAGCGAATCCGAAGGAAGATCCGTACACTAACATTACCTAGAGAAGGCTCGCCAGTCCTAAAACGGCTCTCTGGGTCAAAGAACTGGGCATGGAAATGGTGTCCTCAGTGGGCCACTTTGAGTCTTAGACTTAGCTCCTCTGACTGTTCTCAGCCCAGTAGTCGTCCGAGATCAGGCGTGTTCCAGTGAGTTCTTCGTCATGCAACAACGGGCTTATTACTTGTCTGAGCAAAGGCTTGCGCATTTCCAGCTTTTTTTCGTGCAGTATCGTGTACTGAACGATGGTATTGTTGCCGCTAAAAAGATCATGTATCAAGCGTTGGTTCCAGCATTCGACCTGTGAAGGAGTAGCGTTCAGAAATGAGAAACAGCCCAAAAGGGTAGATGTTCTATTTAATCGGAATTCATTCTAAGTAACACATAAAACAGAGAGCTGAATGGTACACGCCATATTATACAATGAAAAAGAGTCTCGATATGTAGATGGCCGACTATGTGGCATAACCTCGTGCTCACCTTTGCTTGGAGTTTTTGAATGCGGAACGGGCCTTCTCCCTTTCAAGCTCCAGAGCTCGGAGATGGGCCTCTCGCCGCGCGTGGTTTCTCTCCTCCCGTTTCCAGTCTTCTTCTTCCTTCCTCCTCTGCTCGTAGTCTGCCGCTAATTTGCGGTCCTTCTCGCTGAGCCGCGGGGGTTCGGCCAGTGATCCGTCTGCGTTCTTCGTGGGCTCATTACCCATTGCCGAGTCTAGCTTTCCCTTCACATCAGTTGTAAGATTATCGTAATTCTTTTTGACGCTATTGAGCGTCCGGTCGACGAAGCTAAGATTCTGGGCCGCTTCTACTGTAGGCACTTCCATTTTCTTATCCGCTTCCTGGGTGTCGAGGATCATGCGGATCGCTCGGCCATGCTCCTCTGGCGACATTGCGGTGGCTTCTGCCGGCTTTTTGGGAATGGCAATGTTGGCAAATTGCCGGAAGCTGTTAGAGGAAAGCATGTACGCCTGCCCCAGAGCAAACAAACCGGTCGAGAGGAAGTAAAGCTGAAGGGCACTAGGGAAAAAGGACATGAACGCGAAAGAAAGGGCAGGCATTCCGTACAGAACAGCTCTGCCGACGGGTGAGTTCGCCATTTGGTTCATACCGTTCTCTCCGCCTTTCTGTGAACACAGTTAGCTTTGTCTTGCGGAGTATAGAGGCATATCTGGTCATACCTTGAAAGACATATACATGGCAAATGCTGTAGCAGCTGGAAGCAGAAAATACGGATCCGCAACCGTGAGATCCTTGATCCAGCCGACAGACTCCACAGCCAACCCGGGTACTGGCAAAGAAGTCATTCCCTTGACAACTCTGTAACAACCAAAACCCAAAGGAAGCTGAATGAACGGTATCATTGTCTTGTAGAACTTAATGCCATGGTCACTGTGGAGTTGCTGCAGCTCCGCTCTCGTTTGCATCATGTCCGTATGTCTCTTCTCATTTGCAGCCTTCGCCATCTTGGCTCGGAGAGGTGTCACGACGTCTTTCAGATTGTGGATTTTGGTGGAGACATCCGCTGCGCTGAGCATTGGTTTCAGCAGAGCCAAACGGACCAAAAGACCGGTTCCAACAATACTAGCCCACCACGGCAGACCGGCCCAGATGTGGAAATGCTCGATGAAGTATTCAATCATGGACGAAGGGCCCCAGCCGTAGTCGAGTCCTAGGTCTTTCAGGTATCCAATCTTCTCGGGAATGGCATTGATGTCAAAGTCAGAAAGATCGGCTGCTTGTTCGGGTGCGGCCGTGTCTACAGCGGTTGCAGCAGTGGCAGTCGAAGCAGAGGCAGTGGAAGCGGTGGAATTGAATCGTGCGGCCGACGCATGATGAATGGAGGAGGCAGGCCTCCAGGACACGTTTCCTGCAAGCGATTGGTTCAGTCTCCCATATCGCACAGGGAATCCCGGGGCATGGGAACGGAATGAAGACATCTGTCAATGTTTAGTATTTGCCGACGGAGAAGAACGCATCCCGATAAACGAACCGATCGACTGGAGCGTGAGAAGGCAGTCAATCGCTGCCGGGCAATGGCAGGCATAGCGCCACGCCCTTTCAGGCCAGCTCCTCCCAGCATCATTGCAGTTAGAGCCAACGGAGAGACAAAAGTCGAAGTACGGACTGGGAATAGCGTTCTTGAAGGGAAGAAGCGCGACAACGGCCGATTGATCGGACTTTTTGCGCCAAGCCCGTTTTTTCTGCCGGGCGGCCGGAGAACCCCAGGCTTTTACCGACCTGTTTATTATATTAAATATAAATGGTACAATATATCGGGTTAAAATAGTAATGAAATGATAATGATAATGACGATGATGATGATGATGGTAGACTAGCTGTCGCTAAATCAGAAGGTTGTACAGCTGCAGCTAAGTCATCGCTCTCATGCCAAACTCGAGGTGCTTCGCCAGACGCCATCCAGTCAGACAGTACAAGTACTACTCATGCCTTATGATCTATGTACATTTGTAATCCCCACGTATACGTTTCCTGCTGTAGTAAAAGATAACCAAAGAATCTTGCTAACAATTCTGTTTCTGTTGTTGTGCTTTTGAGTGTGAGCGCGGTCGCAGAGTCTGAGAGTGAGCTTCCAGCACCTGTCTTATTCCAAAGACGCCGTGTCTCACAAGCTGTTACTCCTCCGTGACGGAACTTCTCGAACCTCCACACCAGGACCGACTGTTCTCCGATAGGTAGGGAAGATCTAGTGGCAATACTATAGTATTAGTATGGTCCGCCAAAGGTATGCAGGTAGGGGCGAACAGCAGAAACTGATCAGGGGACAGTACCTTTGTGCCGGACCATCCTAGGCGGAAGGCTGCTTCATGTGCAAATAGCTCACCAAAGCCCAGCATGAGTCCATTCACGAAGGGAAGAACCAGGTTGATGGCGGCGCCTCGCAAAATACTCCAGATCGTAGGGGGTTTGTAGAGGATCAGAGGAGAACTCGACGTCGACTCGGATAACTCATTGTTGGCCGAATAATTCTCCGAGTCTGAACGGACGGTCAATCCAGATTCATAGAGCTCGACGCTCGAGCCTGTGTGGTCACCCGAAGCCATGATGCGGGGGTAAAGGAAGAACGCGCCGTTCAACCAACGAGGGCAGATCGGAGATTGGTCGTAGGGGGGAAGATCAATGGGAGGTAGCCGTGATTTAGCTCGGAAGGATGTTCCCAAGAGACGGATTCGGATTCTAAGCCCTTTATGACCTAAGTAACGGGCGTTCAGGATTTGTTGACCTGGCTAGGATTGTATCGAATACCTTCCTCGTCATACATGAGCTAGTACCTACTAAGGTGTGATGCTTGGATACACCTGACCAGTTATGTAATCAGGCACTGCATGCCGCTTCAACAAAACACCAAACTCATCAATCAGCGATGGTGCTAGCAGTTCTTGAAAGGTTATAGCTGGCGATCAAAGAAATGCCATATTTCTACTCAGTTTATCATGACGCCTCATCGATCCGGGAACAATGTATGATTTGTTGCGTTACTTTAGTACTACTCCTAGGCTAAAGTTGAGCAATTAGAATACTCTCCAATCGGTTCCATCGTTACGATGGGACCCAATGGAGCAAACCGCGATGATTGGGCACTGGAGGTGCTGATTGAGATGCCACCTGTACTGCGTAGTTCTGTGTATCGTAGCAAATGCCGAGCACTAAGTCGTACATCCACACCTGGTTATGTGTGGTAGGGAAAGATATATCTCATACATTTCCAACCCATGGGAAGAACGAACTTCAATCCCAAGATGGAAGGCAAATGAAATGTCCCGCACTGATTCCTGAGGCATACGTGGAAGATCCCCTCTTCCGATGACCAATCAGGTAACAGTGACGTACCTCATTGGTTCCTCAATTGTTGTTCTTCTGCTTTCTCGGAGATGAACTAAGCGTCATTTCCCATTATCTTGCCCTCCATTCACTTGGATTCCCTCCTTCAGTCCCTCCTTCAAGTACCCTGGCCTTATCACAAATACCCCCGCGCTCCTACAGAAACTATCTGATAACGCTACAAGCTGCTGGGTTTTTGAGATATCGTCAGCATGGATCGTAATCCGACCATTCAAGATGAGGACGTCTCTCAGTTTTGTGCCATGACCGGAGTACGTCCTGAGCAAGTAAGCCTCTCTACCCTTCCGCGCATGCATCTATGTCCCGCTAACATTATTGTTCCAAAGGCACAGGAGTACCTCGCAGCCAATGGAGGGGATCTTGAGGCTGCCGTGACGGAATTCTTTGCCGAACAAGATGAAGCTTTACAAGAGGGAAACACAGGTCCTGGCCAGACTCTTGGAGAAAGCGAATCGGCGCCGTCCGCAGGCCGGTCCCTAGCTGGCAGTTCCTCTCAGTCACCATCGTTCCCCCCCCAACAATCTTCCACATCACGCAAATCCGCCCCGAAAAAGAAATTCGCGACGCTGGGTGATTTCTCCTCCGGCGGTGGCGATGACTCGGAGGAGGAAGATGACGCGGTCAACCGGGATTTGTTTGCTGGGGGTGAAAAGTCTGGATTAGCTGTGCAGAACCCCGATGATATCAAGAGGAAGATCATCGAAAAAGCAAAACGGTTAGTCAGGGCACTTCCGTAAAGCAGACTTCTGTAGGTCGTAAAGGCTAAACATCTCTTAGGTCTCAGGTCCCAGCATCTGATAACTCGGAGCCCCGACGGTCTTTCTTTACAGGTCCCGCTCGCACGCTCGGCGGCGATGACACCCCCAGTCGGGTCATCGATGTTCCAAACGAACCTGCCGCGCGACTACCACAGCGCGTTCAGCGGACACTACACTTCTGGGCCGATGGGTTCTCCGTGGACGACGGTGATCTTTACCTCTCTGACGACCCCCGAAACGCGGAAATTCTCGATGGCATTCGCCAGGGTCGCGCTCCCCTTTCCATCATGAATGTGCAGCCGGGTCAGGAGGTCGATGTGGAGATCAAACAGCATGAGGAAAAATACGTCAAACCAAAGCCTAAATACAAGCCTTTCGCTGGTGCTGGACAGCGTCTCGGAAGCCCGACGCCGGGTGTGAGAACGCCAACCCCTCCCACTGCTCCTGCTGCCGGCCAGATCAACTCAGACCCTAGCAAGCCTGATGTGGATGAATCGCAGCCGATCGTCACCCTTCAGGTCCGTCTTGGTGACGGAACACGCCTGACTTCCCGATTCAACACTACGCATACGATTGGTGATGTCTATCAGTTTGTCTCTGCCGCCAGCTCGGATAGTCAGAGCCGTCCCTGGGTGCTGATGACCACATTCCCCAGTAAGGAGCTTACTGACAAGACGGCTGCCCTTGGAGATCTGGCTGAGTTCAAGCGAGGAGGTGTCGTGGTACAGAAATGGCAATGAAGAGTCAACACATAGTCCACCATTATAGAGTACACAGGCGGGGTGGGGCGGGCTCGATTGTTTTCAAAAGTCTGAAGCCGAGGGTCGAGAATATTAAAGTGTTCTACGAGACTCGAAGTTGTGGGATGATTCATGATAGCAAGCAATTTAGACCATTGACTTGTCACCTGAGAGCACTAATGAAACATGAAAGATCCATGTTGAGTGATGACCATGACGGATGCTAGTATCTCAGAACTTGTATGATTCCAAAACCTTGGTCAACTTGAATCCTCCCTTGTAGAACCCCCGCGAGTAGATACGATATACATGTTATCGGTATTCCAGTACTAGTACTACTACTAGTATTAGTAGGTACCTGAGTAAAAGAGATGGCGAACAGACCACCCAATGGGAATGATTCCAAGTCAATCAGTGATTGATAAGCAAAATCCACTCCGCCGAATGACGCAGAAATCCCGCGGCGAAATCGGCTTTTGCCATCTTATCAGCAACTCAACCAACTATGCATGGAGTTTGATATCCCTCCTACCACGCTCGTGAATAACAATTGCTCCCGGCAAAAATGCCTCTAGACGGCGTCAGAAATATCGTGCTGGTGAGTCTTACTCAATTTCTTTAGAGACCCAAACAGTAAAGAAAAATTGTACCCCTCATCGCTTATCGATAACGATCGTCTCTGGGTCCCTCCCATTCAGAACAAAGTGATGGCAGGCTGTATAGCGGGCACATTGATCATGAACAAGATATAATAAGAAGGAGGACACTAACATGTATCAATACCATAGGTTCTATCCGGCAAAGGAGGCGTCGGCAAATCCTCCGTCACCCTCCAACTCGCACTGGCCCTCACCTTACAAGGCAAATCAGTCGGTATACTCGATATCGACCTAACAGGCCCCTCGATCCCCCGTCTCGTAGGACTTGAAGATGCAAAGATTACCCAGGCACCCGGGGGCTGGGTCCCCGTAACAGTGCATCCGGCGTCCACAGATGACGGCGCACAACGAGGTTCCCTCCGCTGCATGTCACTGGGGTTCCTGCTCCGCGATCGCGGCGACGCTGTCATCTGGCGCGGACCGAAGAAAACAGCCATGATCCGACAGTTTCTGTCCGATGTTTACTGGGGGGAGACGGACTACCTGCTTGTGGATACGCCCCCTGGCACGAGTGATGAGCACATTGCTTTAGCGGAACAGTTACTTAAATCCGCAACTACGAATCCGGCTGCTGTGTCGTCGACTATGCCGAGATTGGCGGGCGCAGTTTTGGTTACCACGCCCCAGGCGGTTGCGACGTCGGATGTTCGGAAGGAGGTGAATTTCTGTGTGAAGACGCAGATTCCGATGCTGGGTGTTATTGAGAATATGTCTGGTTATACGTGTCCGTGCTGTGGGGAGGTGACGAATCTGTTTTCGAGCGGCGGGGGGCAGGTGATGGCTCAGGAGACAGGAGTGAAGTTTCTGGGTGCTGTGCCTGTGGATATCCAGTTTGGGGAGTTGGTGGAGGGCAAGGTGGTTGACGAGAGTGACGATGAAGATGAGGGTGGTACGCAGTCGGAACAGAAGCAGGACGCGGTGGATGACAGGCCGTTGGTGGAGAGGTATAAGGATTGTTGGTCATATTCCCGGTTTGAGGGATTTGCGAAAACACTGCTGTCTGAGATAGAGGGTGGCGTGGCGAATTAGTCTTTTCTTCATGGTTCCTGCTGGTCTAGGTTCGTTGTTCAGAGGGCTTGTTCTCATGTTTATTATACCACCTTTGCATATAAGACTGGAGTTTATATTGGTCCTTAGGCACTGCGGTGTCTGATTCACTGTCTCACTATCTTTCTCCAAACAACACTAGGCACTGGACAGCGGAAGCTGGAAAACTTCACATAATATTCATCACACATCTCACCATAGTCGTAATAGCAAAGATCATCAAATCTAGTACGTATCCTTCATAACATGCATCATCAACCGTGATCAATAGAAGCAGATACATTCACATCACAGAGAACAAGAATCGTTAATCATCATTTGCATATACTCCGGACGTTTCCGGGTCCTGCTGTCGCTCAAGCATCGCGCGCAGTCTCATCTCAGCTGTTGGCAGGGCTTGACCAAAATCCGACCCGTCGCGCACAGCATATTTCAGCCAACCAAATACTTCTGTCAAAAAAGATATTCCCACCGCCTGCAGACCCCAGCGGCTTCGCACTACATCAGGATCCAGACTGTCTCCGAAAAGTGGCTGGCTTTGAATGATATGGGGTTCCGGTCCCAAAGTGCGTCCATCGGCCTGGGCATCTAGAAGAACCTCAGACACAAGGGCAGGTGTTTGAATAAGTCGTCTTCGATCGTCTGTGGTTGATTCAGCATCCGTTGCTAGCAATACCCGGCCGCATGACTTTGGCCTAGATGCGATTTCTCGTGTTGTAGGAAGTGGCCCCAGCGCGGAAGCTGGATCCATGGTAGTACTGAAGCCCATAGATCGTGGAGTGTCAGGGTGTACTTGAACAGACGACCCGTCTCCACCGTAAAGCGAAGGCATTGATTGAAATCCCGCGGTACGAGATGCTGTACTTTGCCGGGCATTCTCTATGAGTCCAAGTTGCATGGAGGAGGGGTGATCCCTCCCGTCCATAACACTATGGTCATCATCGTAAATAACCACATTGTCGTTGGCTTGTCTTTCATGCTCCGAGCTAGCTTCATCCACGGGCATTAGGCCACCAGGAGGCGCCCGGATTTCGCCTAGGGGTGCTATATGGCTACCATATTCGTTGGCTAAACTGAGCTTACTCCGCCCACAGATCTCCCCGATTGAATCCAATGTATGGCGAATATTAGGCTCAATAGCCCGTAGGATGCCATCAATGCTGAAGTCCTCGTCTGAAGGAAGTTCTGGCCCTCGCCTTGTGGTTTCAGCGCGGCCTGCGAATGGGAACGACCGCCGTAGAGACATCTTGGACGTTTTCGCACTATCCCTGGGGCCGCCGGAATAGGCCCGAACCAGGACGGGCTGCGAGGGTGAAGTTGAGTGGCCACCGCCAGTTTGAGTTGCTTGTTGGTGACTCCAAGAGAGGGGCCTGGAACTTTCACTCAAGTGACGCAAAGAAGTCGTGCGATACGCCTGAGCAGAGTCGTCCAGAGCTGACTCATAACGATAAGAGTTTGCTTGCTGCGATGGACCAGCAGTGTCAACGACTGGGTGGGAGTGAGCAAGAGGAAACCGAGGCCATCTCTGACGTGACAAGGACGAATGGATTTCATCAGGGTGGGTGAACAGTCTTCTGCCCGACTTATAATCCATTGTACGGACAAGGTTCTTTGCAACCACTTGTTGTCGATGCAGTGTTCGTCTCTGTATGTACAGAGCTCACTAAGTGATGCAGGAGACCGCAGAGGGAATAATGCAAGTAACTTCACCAGCGCGACCTGGTCACGAACCCCCCTCTCACACCAGTTCGCAGCAAGTCGTTGAACAGCAGTGTATACCTGTCAGACAGTAGTAGATAGGTTTCTGAGCCACGTATACACGCCGCCATGCATTACTTGGAGGCACGGCTGCAAATGAGACACGCAAAGAATGTAACGGGGGGCATACATCAAGGGAGCATGATCGCACTTGTTGCAGAACGGGAGCTGCCGGATAATACGCTGATTGACTGTGGTTGCCGGGAAGACGCAGTTCATGCGTTGGTCGAATAATAATAAGTTTAATAGTTCAGCCGGTGAAACCAAATCCGTCGCTGAAATACAATATTCTACCCCCTCCTTGAGTCACTACAGCTAGATATATTTTTTTTTCTGTTTTAACTTTTTTAATTGTTCATCTTTTCCTTTTCCTTTTTCTTTGCTCTTCTAACGATATATCTTGACATCTCTCGGATTCCCTATAGATAGGGCTCGAAGCCGGGGATTCGGGTGTATTACAGCAACACCGAAGAGCGACTTGGCAGGTATAACATGAATGTTGCCAGAGCTTCAATATACTACTTTCTCCCACGCTTCTGGTCCCCAACAAGCGCAAAACCAGATGTATACTAGTTCTCTATAGATCCGTTTCATGGGTGAATCGGTGGAACCAGACCGTAAAGGGAAAGCGTTCCAAAGGTCGGGTTCCGGCCAAACTCCTTCAAACTTACCCCAGAGCCCGAAACTACCTTCTACAACTACTCCACAACAAAAGGTTCTTTTCCAAACTGATACTGACGAACTCCCGGTGGATCTTTGCGCATTTCCAAACTTTCTTTCACCGCTCCACTTGTACGCGTAAAGATTGCAATGAATAAGTTTCGCGTATGCAAAACCCCAGTTTTGATCGTTGGTCCCCCGCCATTGACGCTTTTTTGGATTAACCGTAATGCGACAGTTTGGCGACTCGGACGAGTCTGCCTCTGACCTCGACGACGATACCTCTGGACTTCCCTTTCCGGAGCCATTGTCCCGTTCTTCCTTTCTCGCCCCCGACTTTGACCCCGCAAAATACCTGTCCTCCCTGACAAATCGACACCAGAGCCTTGAAGACCTACGGCAGGAATTACGTGACCTGGACCAACTGCTGAGTCGGGAGTTACTGGATCTGGTAAATGAGAATTACCAGGATTTCTTGTCGCTTGGGATTGCACTGCGAGGAGGGGAAGAGAAGGTAGAACAAGTCCGAGTTGGACTGTTGACATTCCAGCGGGATGTCCAGTCCATCCGCGATAAGGTTGACGCCCGGTATCGAGAGGTAGAGCAGCTGGTGGAAGAGAAGAAGCGCCTACGGAAGGATGCAAATATCGGGAGGGCTTTGTTGGATTACGCCGATCGGGTTGACAAACTCGAAAGAAAATTGATGATTGGAGACACCACACCTGCCCGCCAAGGCGACCATGCTAAGGACCTCGATACGGACTCCGATCTACTGGACAGCGAAAGCGAAGAGAGCGAAGATGGAGAAATCCCGAACGAGGCATCAGCCACGCCCCTGGTATCACTGAAGAGGCTCGAACATCACATTCAAAAATACGTCTATCTGACAAGACTGTCGTCGCGGATAGGTGACGATCATCCGTTCTTGGTCAGTCAACAGTCGCGACTGTCGAAGATCAGATCGGCAATACTCTTGGACCTTAAAACTGCGCTCGAACAGGCGAAGATCGCGGGCGAAAAACGGGATACAAAAACGCTGGCCGTATTGCGTCTCTACAAACTCATGGGCGAGGACACCAGTGCAGTATCTGCCCTGAAGAATCTGAAAACATAGAACCCGTCTGATACATGGACTAGGCTTTTGCATAGCGTTGGCGTTTGGGGTGTTGGGTTCTTCAGGAATAGATATGAAACAATACCATTATACACCGTGTCCTTCCTAATATAACATAATCTGTACACCCAAAAACGCAAAGACTTGAAGCTATTTTACAGACCGCTCAAAGATGCAGTATCGGGGGAATTGTCGGACTTGAACTCTCCGTTGAGACTGAAACCAGGGCCATTGGTCGAGCTCAGCACCTAATAATAGTCAGCTAGGATGATACGTGTGGCTTCAGGGTAGAGGCTAGCCTACCACTTCATAGATCTCCTTGTTTATGCGGTCGTTGAGGCCAGCCGCATCCTTCTTGATCTGTTCGAGAGTGGCGCGCAGATTGTCTCGCAACTGCTCAGGGGTGAATGCCAGCTGCCCAATTGGAAGTCGAATGACAGCATCTCGCTCCCTGTATACTGTACCGCCACGCAGCATTTCAACTCTCGAAGCGACGTCTTCAACAACGGTACCTGTCTTTGCGCTGGGCATCAGTCCTCTAGGACCGAGGACCCTACCCAGTCCGGCCCTGTTCAAGGCCTCCAAGCTATCAGGGTGACAGATCAGACGATCGAACTCAATGATGCCCTTTTTCACATTATCAAAAACCTCTTGTTCTCCAACTAGGACGGCTCCTGCCGCACGAGCCTCCTTCTCATGCCTAGACCCAGCAGGGCAGACGACACAAATCCGCGATTCTGTTTGGACTGAATGAGGAAACCGGAGCATGTTGCGGATCACTGGACCGTCTTTCATCGTCTTCAACCGGACGTGGACTTCGTATTTGGAGGTAGCTGGTTCATGCCCGACTTCGAACGCGCGAAGGTACCTAAAGAGCAGAACAGATTCCGTGTCAGCAAAAAGGTGAGGTGCGGGCATGGCAAGACACGTTGTACGTACCTCATGGCATCGCAAAGCGCGAATTGATCCATATCCTTCAGATCCCTTTGTTTGAACTCTCGTGCACCCTTCTTTGTCTTCTTACTCTTTTCCTTGTTCTTTTTACCTTGTGCTTGAGGATTGTTCTTTGCTCCTCGAACCTGCTGAAAGCTGGAGAGGAGAGGGGCCATTGACCCCTGGCGAAGCGGAGACCGGCATGACGACAAGAGACTCCTTGCCGCGGTGGGCATGAGTGATCCGTAGGAAGCCATTGCGTTGGCTATAAGATGTTGACTTCTCGGTGTTCTTGCGGAAAGGGAATGTTTTCTGCCCGAGAGCTCTCCGACTTGCGGGCGGCGGGCGGAGAAATGTGACGCCGGCGGAACCCCAATTGAGTCAATGCCCCTCCAAATATTTCACGATACTCTTTTCCCCACCATAGAAGCTCTAGACGGATTCATTCGGATTTTTACCAGTGAATTCGGAGCCATCATGTCTAACATGCAGTTGACCTTGGCCGCAAAGGCCAGCCAGGCTGCTTTGCTCCCTGTTCTTCTGGTTGCAACCTCTATCAATGAAGCACGACCATCCCCCGTGATTAACATCACCTACGAGGATAAGGCTGTTCTTGAACAGGGCGACAAGGCTGTTGTTCAGTTCACGGGTGCTAGCGGAGCTCCTGTTTTCGGACCTGTGAACGCTATCCAGGAGTTGCTCAAGGACTTTCCATTCCTCAACGCGAAGGATCAGAAGCTGGTACGTTACATATCTCTGCAGGCAATCTATGGTTGCAGCCCTTCTACGTACGGCCTGAAGTACTTCCTCTAACAATGCTAGTAGGAGAACGAGTGGCTTTCTCAGCTTGATACCTTTACTACCCTCGACTTCAAGGCCCTCGATCCTTTGCTCCAGGGCCTTAATACCCATCTTCTTCTCCGGTCCTTCGTCGTCGGATACTCGCTTTCCACAGCTGACATTGCCCTGTGGGGTGCTCTCCGCGGAAACCGTGTCGCCGTCTCTGCTATCAGAAAGGGAGCTCTTGTCAACGTGACTCGTTGGTTTAGCTTCTTGGAAGATCTCTGTCCGTGGGCCACATCTGCTCTTGAGGCGCTGAATGCCGCAGCAAAGGAAAAGAAGGCTACCAAGGGCAAGGAAGGCAGTGCTAACTACGATGTTGCGCTTCTGAACACTGATAAGGGTGTTGTGACCCGGTTCCCCCCTGAGCCTTCAGGATATCTCCACATTGGTCACGCCAAGGCAGCTCTTCTCAACGATTACTTCGCCCACGAGAAGTACAATGGCACATTGCTTGTCCGCTTCGATGATAGTGAGTGAACCCCCGCCCTACAATATCCTTGACAACTTTCTCACATCTATCAAAGCCAACCCTACCAAGGAAAACTCTGAGTTCCAGGATGCTATCCTTGAAGATCTTGCTCTCATGGGTATCAAGGCCGACAAGATGAGCTATACTAGTGACTACTTTGAACAGCTCTACGAGTATGGTGTGCAGATCATCAAGGATGGAAAAGCATACGCCGACGATACAGATAAGGAGACTATGGCGGCGCAGAGAATGGACGGTGTACCTAGTAAGCGTCGTGATGCTACTGTTGAGGAGAACCTTGCTCGATTCGAGGAAATGAAAAAGGGCACTCCTGAGGGTCTTGGATGGTGTATTCGTGCCAAGGTATTTAAGGCTTCTATCTTCCACTTCAGGAAAACCTTTCTCACATCAGTCTTTAGATCTCTGCCGACGACAAGAACAAGGCTCTTAGAGATCCTGTTATCTACCGCTCCAACCCCGACCCTCACCACCGCACGGGCACCAAGTGGAAGATCTATCCCACGTATGACTTTGCATGCCCTATTGTCGACTCTATTGAAGGTGTTACTCATGCTCTTCGAACCAATGAGTACCGTGACCGGAACCCTCAGTACCAATGGATGCAGGACGCCCTCAAACTCCGCTCGGTGCAGATCTGGGACTTTGCTCGTATGAACTTCATCCGAACCCTTCTGTCCAAGCGCAAGCTTACTAAGCTTGTTAACGAGGGCGTTGTCTGGGGCTGGGATGACCCTAGGTTCCCTACAATCCGTGGTATCCGTAGACGAGGCATGACCATCCCTGCCCTGAGGGAGTTCATTCTCAGGCAAGGCCCTAGCAAGAACATCACGAACCTTGACTGGACCCTCATCTGGGCGACAAACAAGAAGTACATTGACCCAGTTGCACCCCGCCACACCGCTCTCCTTCAGAAGGACGCTGTCAAGACAACTATTAAGGGAGCTCCTGCACCCTACACTGAAGAGAAGCCCAAGCATATTAAGAACCCTTCAGTTGGCACGAAGAAGGTCGCCTACAGTGGCTCCATCCTCCTTGAGCAGGAGGATGCCAAGAGCTTCAAGCAGGGTGAGGAGATCACCTTGATGAACTGGGGCAATGCGATTGTGCGCCAGATCGTGACTGACCCAAGCTCCGGTGTTGTTAAGGAGCTTGAGTTGGAGCTGCACCTGGAAGGTGATTTCAAGAAGACTGAGAAGAAGGTCACTTGGCTGTCTACTGACCAAGACCTGGTCCCAGTGGAATTGGTCGACTTCGACTACCTTCTCAACAAGGACACCTTGCAGGAGGATGATGCTCTTGAGGACGTCCTGAACAGGAACACTGAGTTCAGGGAGAGTGCTACTGCTGACTGCAATGTTGCCGAGTTGAAGGAGGGCGACATCATCCAGTTTGAGCGTAAGGGATTTTACCGTGTGGACAAGGCTTATGCCCCGGGCCAGCCGGCTGTTTTGTTCTACATCCCTACGGGAAAGACCGGCGGCAAATAAGTGTGCAGTCTCATAGTATGAGTCACGAAGATATGCTAGAAGAAGTTTGGAAATAAAAAGTCCATTACGCAGACCCGTCCGAAATGGTCACATAGTAGTATGATTATACGTTGTAACCTGGCTGTAGCAGCCACAGAAGTTAAACCGGACAAATAAACTTCGTCGCATCCAAAGTCTCCACGAGCAGTCCGTTTGGCACTACAAAATGAGCCAAGCTGCATAGCTGATCAGGTTGGATCAAAAATTAAAACGGAAGGGGTAGCTTGGTAAGTAACGTAGCCATGGGAGGAGGTATGTAGGATTGAGATTTCAATACAACACCAGACATGATAGAGTGGATGATGAGAGGATTACGTCGTGAAATCATTACCCGGAACGTGAAGGACGTTTCGATGTTGGAATTAAAATTTATATCCCGGTTCAGGTTACATTTGAAGTGTCAGATGGGGGACCTAACGGCTAAGGCATTCACTGTTAGCGCCGATCACTTGACGTCTCCATCCAGAATTCCACTCTTTCCACTCTTTCCCCGCAGCCTCTCCGATATCTTCTCATCATTGGCTCATAGGCTTTCGTGGTGGTTGTTGCACTCGATTATAAGCCAGCAAGAATGAAGCATTTCGAGCTCTCGTGTTCCCACTGTCCCTTCCCATGCTTACCCCACCCTCTGTCATCGTCTTATAGGAGGTCTCCTGGTCAGATCTTCCCGTGGGTCCCGGCTCTCTTTCCGCTGGCATATCTAGTCTAGAACCCTGGATATGCTCATCGCGTCATGCGGTTCTTCTAGAGTCAATTCTTTGCGTTGTGTATCTGACTGTCTGGGCATAGAAATGCTGGAGCGAATGAGTTCTGATGTTTCAACGGCCCCTCGTTCATATACTTCAACCGGGTTATCCCGGATAGGTCACCACCGTCTCATACGTCAAGACCATCAAGGAGTCGTCGAATCAACCTACTATGTCCCTAATTCATATCACAAATTGACTTTGCCCTCGACCGGTGCATGCAGCCTTGTCTGGTCAAAGTACAGTAGGGGCTTGACCTCTACCTTACTTAACCTCTATCACAACTTGACTAGCCGGAAGTTTCCTAGGATCTACTACGTCAGCATGATAGTCCGTATGTAGTATTACTGTCCCAATCCGTCTAAGGGTTGGCCCTGTACATGGAGCGGGTGGTTATTGTACCCCCCCCTATGTCCTCGCGGAAGGGAAAAGCGCAAAATCCTTACGCATTCTTGCTCTTACTAGTTGCCTTATGGGCAGATCCTTCTCGTTCGCTGTATGTTCGATCATTCTGAGGGGTCGCTCATTGTTGTAACCCCATTCGCTCACTTTAGCCGGTTGAGTAAGCATTGAGCACATCTGGCAAGGAACCGAGAAAGATGGCCGAGCAAGGCGGTGCCTCGAATGACGTGGAACGGGCAGTTCAAGCACCGGGATCTCAGGGTCGACTTTCTACCTCCGAAGGACGCGCGTCTAGGCGTATATCCCGAGTTTCTTACAAGGAAGACTGGGCCAATCTTGACGAATATGGCAAGCTTGTCAAGTACGCATCGACCTACCGCGAAGACGGCCGAGGCGATGAAACACAGGGAGAGGAAGAGGTGAGAAGAGTCTGGTATGCTCCCTGGAAGAAACGCAAGGTCCTTGTTCGACATGTGGGCCAAGACGATGGCCAGTTCCCGGACGACTGGCTTCTCACCGACATCCATCAAGGTCTGTCCAGCGATGAGGTTGGAAATAGGCGTCGTAGAGCGGGATGGAACGAGCTGGTGTCGGAGAAGGAGAACCCCATCGCCAAGGTCTTGTCATACTTTAGGGGCCCTATCTTGTATGGTGAGTCATATCGGCTTACACTAGGCGCTTTCTATTCCATTGAGAGATTAATGCACTGACCTGTCGCAGTTATGGAGCTGGCCGTCCTTCTTGCAGCAGGTCTCGATGATTGGGTCGATTTCGGTGTCATCATTGGTATCCTGTGTCTGAACGCGGCTGTCGGTTGGTACCAAGAGAAACAAGCCGCCGATGTTGTCGCCAGCCTCAAGGGAGATATTGCAATGAGGACAACGGTCGTCCGTGATGGCCAGGAACAGGAGATTCTGGCCCGTGAGCTCGTGCCCGGTGATGTGGTATGCTAGGCAATCTCAATCTGACCTCTCTGAATCCTGCGCTGGGATACTAACACAGATGGCAGATCATAATTGGCGACGGCCAAGTTGTGCCCGCTGATGCACGGATCATTTGCGATGTGAAAGATCCAAACGGATGGGAAGAATTCAAGATAATGCAAAATCAGGGTGACCTGAGCAGCACGTCCGAATCCGACATTGAAGAAGCTGAAGGAGAAAAGGACAAGGAAAAGGAAAAGAATAAAGAAGGTGATGAGGAAACGCCACAGAAGCCCAAGAGACGAGGTTATCCTATCCTAGCCTGTGATCATTCGGCTATCACCGGAGAGTCTCTGGCAGTTGATCGTTATATGGGTGAAATGATCTATTACACGACAGGGTGTAAGCGTGGCAAAGCATATGCCGTTGTACAAACTTCTGCAAAGCTCTCGTTCGTGGGTAGAACAGCGACCATGGTGCAGGCGGCCCAAGGTGCAGGTCATTTCGAAAAGGTCATGGATAACATCGGTACCTCGCTTCTCATCCTCGTCATGGCGTGGATCCTGGCTGCATGGATTGGCGGTTTCTTCCGGCATATCCCAATTGCTTCCCCTCGCCAGCAAACGCTTCTCCACTACACTCTGGCTTTGTTGATTGTCGGCGTCCCTGTCGGCCTTCCCGTCGTTACAACAACTACCATGGCTGTAGGGGCAGCATACCTTGCAAAGAAAAAGGCTATTGTGCAGAAGCTTACTGCAATTGAGTCGCTCGCGGTAGGTTGCGAGTAATATCCTCTGTATGGAAATGCTAATAGCTCACCAGGGTGTTGATGTCTTGTGTTCCGATAAAACCGGCACCCTTACAGCAAATAAGCTGAGCATTCGAAACCCATATGTGGCTGAAGGTGTGGATGTCGACTGGATGTTTGCCGTGGCAGTTTTAGCGTCATCCCACAACATCGATTCGCTAGACCCGATTGACAAGGTTACTATTCTGACCCTCAGGCAGTACCCCAAGGCACGGGAGATCCTGCGCAGAGGGTGGAAGACAGAGAAATTCCAGCCATTTGACCCGGTTTCGAAGCGTATTGTGACGATTGCCAGTTGTAATGGAATCAGATATACTTGCACCAAGGGCGCACCCAAGGCAGTGCTTCAGTTGACAAACTGTTCTAAACAGACCGCCGATTTGTACAAAGCCAAAGCGCAGGAATTTGCACACAGAGGCTTCCGTTCTCTGGGAGTTGCTGTCCAGAAAGAAGGAGAAGAATGGACCCTCCTCGGCATGCTACCGATGTTTGATCCACCCCGAGAGGACACGGCGCAAACAATCCATGAGGCGCAGAATTTGGGCATCAGCGTCAAAATGCTTACAGGTGACGCATTAGCCATCGCTAAGGAGACTTGCAAGATGCTCGCCCTCGGAACCAAAGTATACAATTCCGATAAACTCATTCATGGAGGGCTTAGCGGCGCAATGGCAGGAGACTTGGTCGAAAAAGCAGATGGTTTTGCAGAGGTGTTCCCTGAACACAAATATCAAGTTGTTCAGATGCTTCAGGACCGAGGCCATCTCACCGCGATGACTGGTGACGGTGTTAATGATGCACCTTCGTTGAAGAAATCCGACTGTGGTATTGCAGTAGAAGGAGCTACGGAGGCAGCACAATCGGCTTCGGACATTGTCTTCTTGGAGCCAGGCCTGTCAACGATTATTGATTCGATTAAAGTTGCGCGACAAATATTCCATCGCATGAAAGCATACATCCAATATCGTATTGCTCTCTGCTTGCATTTAGAGATCTACCTGGTCACGACGATGATCATTCTCAACGAGAGTATTCGTGTCGAGTTGGTGGTCTTCCTTGCTCTGTTTGCTGACCTTGCCACTGTTGCAGTCGCTTATGATAATGCATCGTTTGAGCTGCGGCCTGTGCAATGGCAACTTCCGAAGATCTGGTTTATTTCATGCCTGTTGGGCCTTTTGCTTGCCCTGGGAACTTGGGTAGTTCGCGGCACTATGTTCCTCCCATCGGGTGGTATCATTCAGAACTGGGGCTCGATCCAAGAAGTGATTTTCCTCGAAGTTGCTCTCACGGAAAACTGGCTTATCTTCATTACGCGTGGCGCCGACACATGGCCTTCAATCCATCTAGTTACCGCCATTCTGGGAGTGGATGTTTTGGCGACCATTTTCTGCTTGTTTGGTTGGTTCACTAACGAAAATATGCCCACCAGGCCCGCCGACAAATTCGTTGAAACAACTAATGGCTGGACTGATATTGTCACGGTGGTCAGGATCTGGGGTTACTCTCTGGGCGTGACCATTGTTATTGCATTGGTATATTTCATGCTCAATAAGTTCAAATGGCTTGATGACCTGGGTCGAGAAAGGCGCGACAAGGGCGACCTTAAAATTGAAAATCTGCTTGGTCATCTTGCTCGCTTGACCGTTGAGTATGAGAGGCCTGGACAGCCGCCAGCTCGGTTTTACTTGGCTGCTCCTAAGGAGGAAGAGGAGGTTGAGTAATGTAACCTCCTTGATGCGTCTTGTGTTATTTTACAATCCTCGAGTGATTGGAACGCGCAACATAATTACAGCAGTGGAAAGGTTATCAGTTCATGATAGGTATGGACGGAGGGCCATACAAAATCCACAGATCATTAATCTTTTGTTAGTTACTAATATTTCCATTAATGAAGGCTTCCGTAATCTAACTGAATATCTCCACGTGCGGTCTTGAATCGTGAAAGGCTTCAGGTCGTACCTTCCAGTATCCTCTAGGCTAGATTAAAATCGAATTATACTATTAAACCTTTATCATAGATATGGAAGAGCAGATAAGAGCTCTCGTATACCAGCAAGAACTGTCAATAGTCATCCATCACATGGATTGATCACAGTCCTCTGGCGCGGTTGTAGATCTTCTCCATATCATTGCCCATACGCTTTTCAACCTCCGCCTCCACGAAGTCATCACGCTTGTCAATGGCCGCGTTAGACTCCTCCTTAGCCATTTCGACTGTGGCACGCAGGTCAGCATTGAACAAGATGGAACAATAGTAGCTGAAAGGAAAACAGAAAGAACATACCATGAGCAAAGACAGCAGCCCTCTTACCACTGAACATAGCATGAGGCACGTTGGTGCTGTTATCACTGTTGCAGTCACCAACAGCAAAGACACCAGGCACACTAGTCCTCATGCCAGGGTTGGTAGTGGCATCGATCTTGTTACCGAGCATAGCCAGGCCCAGCTGCTTGGGAAGATCCGACCGCTGCTCACTGGGGTAGTTGGTGATAAAAGCATTACGATCAATGGACGAGCCATTGGCGAAATGAACACGGAAGATATCAATCTGCCTGGTACCATTCCTGTCCTTCACCTGGGCGCCGTCCTGGATCCGCTCGAAGGACGCGATTGTTTCGTTCTCCAGACGCACATTATACGCCTCCAGCTGTGCCTCCCAGTTTGGGTATTTCTTCGCCAATGCGGCCTCCTGGTCCGGCGTCTGCGTGCCATTCACGAAGGCAATGATGTCCGTGTTCAGGGTGTATACTTCCAACACGCTGCCGACAACATCAGGGAGCGCACCCAGGATACCGAATGGCTGGTCCCGGTGCTCGTACCCGTCACACCACGGGCACCAGTACACGCCTTTACCCCAGGCTTCCTCGAGCCCCGGTACGTCGGGGAGGATATCCACGAGACCCGTGCCCAGGACAACTTTGCGGGCGGTGTACGCCTTGCCGTCGGCGTCTTGGGCGCGGAAGTACGAGGTGTTGGAGGCCTCGTCAGAGACAGTCTCGATGGTGTTGACTCTTTTGTCAATGAAGGTTGCGGTGTCGTACCGCGAGATCTGCTCGCGGGCCAGACCGCGGAATTCGCTGGGTACGGTACCTTTAGTTCACGGTATGTTAGTCCCCGGCCCCCTGTGAATACTTTCGGGAAGAGGTTTTGATTGGAGTGTGGGTCTGTCCATACCATCATTGCCGATCACATCGTGCATGTTCCGGGTCGCAGCATTGCGATACTCATGGGAGTCGAAGAGGGCCGTCTTGCGTCTTACACGGGATAAACCGCTAAGCGCAGAGAGACCTGCGGGGCCACCTCCTACGACGATCACCTCATAGTCGGTTTGAGGGACGGATGCCGCGAGGGCAACGGTGAGGGAGGAGAAGAGAGTGTAGAAAAGAGACTTAGGAGCCATTTTGAACGATCAACACCCGAGGACAAGGAATGATAGACGGCAGAAAGAAGGGAGGGGATCCATGAATGTTTTAAGTCCTGTCAGAACATCTGAGCAGGATTCAGCAGCGCAAGCCCACTACCCAGCTGAGAAGGATCATCATGCATTGCATGCTGCCAAGAGCAGGAAGCCCACTGTATGGCTGAATACCTAGTGAGACGACATTGGACAACCGGATTGCATGCCCATGCATTTCAGAAGACACTGGATTGCTGGAATATATTGAAGGAAGGGGTCGTGCATATGCATGATTTGTTGGTTCTGCATGTCGAGGGCTTCTAGTGGTTTGAACAGCCTCGTGAGTGGAGGATGCGGAATGGTTCGCGGTGACCCTTTAATCAAAAGAATGTAAACTGAGAATATTTTAGTCAAGATGTCTACGAGTGGAAAGTGGGTGAGTTGAGGGGAGCTGAATGAGGTTGGGAACAAGGAGGATCGGCAGGGTCGAAAATCAATAGTTCATGCATTAAAGCGGATCCTGATGCGCTAATTGTTGCATCCTTCAAGGAATTGGGATCTGGATTCCTTGATTGTCTTCGTTCTTGACCCGGGCTGAAAGACACTCGCGGTATGAAACCAATTATTGGCTTGTTACGTGCAGGAAGTAATCAATGTGTGCTATGCAGGGCGGAGGGTGTCATGGATGAGGAATTAGTTGCATGAGCTGAAGGTCCATTTAATATCACACCACGTGCCGAGAGGTTGCCCTAACTGTCTGTCACTGGTAAGGGATAAATTGATTAAATTGTAAAAAAGTATCAGCCCGAGACAGCAAAGGATTAATGCCCTCACTTCTTATATACACCGTTCCATCCGCCAAGCCCACTAACTGACAAAAATATAAACATCGAAACCCTGACTACAAGGTAAAGGTAAATAATGCGGGCCTCCATCATCTATCGACCTATCACAGGATAAAATGAGGGAAGGCGATATCCATGGCGTAAAAGGTGTGCTGTGGAGTTGTTCAGAGCGCCTTTCACGCCATCCAAGAAACCCGTATTGCCGTAGGCCTGAGAAACATCCCACATCATAACGCCTCCAAAACTCTCAAACGACTTGCTATATGCGATCACCGGCTCCAGCTGCGACGCTGGGATGTAACCCGTACTCGCGGCACCCGTGTTTGCTGGGACACCAAGCAAGACCTTAGCTTTCTTGTTCTGAGATACAGTTTTCACCCAGTTGTCCCATTGCTCAAAGTTGAAGCTGCTTTGCGTTTGTTGGCCCGCTGAGAAAGAGTTGACTCCGCACCAATTGTTGTAGAATTGAACGAATACTGCGTCAATGGATACAGGCCCGTTGAGTATATCCTTGTCCGCGGCATCTGGGTACGGACATTGTGGTGCAGCAGTTAGAAAGTATTGCTTGGATTTGTCCGCGTCCGACAATTCGCGAAGCCGGTTCGCGAATGGTGCCATATTCTTGACAGGTGCCTCGAAATCGAAGTCGAATCCATCAATGGTCGCATCACCGAATGGTCGACGGGTCGTTGTGGAATTAGCTCGGACTGCGTGGATATCAGTGCCATTGAGACGGTTGAGACGACCGTTCCGGTAGCGAGACGTTCCGTTACGAGAGGAGGCATTCAACAGTGGGCCCTGCGTTGTGGGAGGACCAAACGTCTGCCAGAGCAGGTCTGCACCAGCCTTAGCGGCAGATTCGGATTCAAAGCCTCCCTCACTATAGGTAGCACCACCAATCGACAGAAGGATGGTCTTGCCCTTCTTTTGGCAGGTGTCGATATCCGCACTGGTGTGGTTAGCTTTGTCACACACTAAATGAAGCTCAGATGATGATGTTGTACGTACCCTATCTGGGGACATTTCAGGAGGTTTGTGCCATCGAAGGTGGTGCAATTATCATTTGCATTGGAAAAGTCTATCTCTGGCGCACCCCCTGAACCATTAACCATCATAAGAAATGCGAGTACGATGACCTGACAGCAGGTGAGCGATATTCATCTAGTTCTCTGGTAACAGGAAGCCTCACATCGATCTTCTCATCTAGAACTAGTTAGTGTCTGCATTAAATAAGCCCTCCATGCGCCGGTCTTACCATTACAATAATACCCAAGTGGCTGTTGTGCCAATTCTCCATTTCCTCTGAACGAGTTCTGACCTAAACCACAAGGCAGCGTAAGTCAAATCCAGCTCAGTGCTGTTTTGTTATACGCACCCCAGTATACAACGACATTGGAAGTGGAAGAAAGATCGAGTTTGGCGTATGCTCCTCCTAAAGAGGCCGCAGCCATTGCGAAGGTGAGAAGGCTCTTAGCGAAATACATATTCTCGCTTTTGATTCTTTCTTTCTCCAACAATGAACGCTAAATTGTTGAAAGTGAGTGCCTGTTACGAACCTCCAACAAACAGAACGACGGAGTGACCGAACACACTGGCTTTTTGGCGCCGCCTGATTGTCGAATAGCTCACAGTGTAGAAAATAAACTAATTAGACGTGCGCGATCGCTGACTTTAACTCCCATACCCCGTGTTATGGCTGCCAAAGAATGAATAGCATTGCTGTGGATGGAGACCTTGAGCATTCCACCAGACTGCCATATTTTGACCAAAGTTTCCTCAATAATGGACAACCTTCGCACATAAAGTAATGATTCTCTCTGTATGTCGATGAGATGCCGCCTTTCCAGTAATGGCCAGCTTGCTCGCGTGCCTTTCGAAGTCGTTATCAGGGAACTAGGGATATCGGGCTAAGGAATGTTTCCTCTCCTTTTGGAAAGATACGCTGATGATGGCCCACATATCGGGAGCTCCTACATACCCCGAGTAGATATTGAAAGAGTTAGCGATCTTTCCATCAAAACAAGCTGAGCTATTATAGTTGTTGTCTGACTATCTCGGCCAAGATAGTCGTTCGACAAGAGCAACCTCAAAATCATAGGTTACGAGCCCTAGCGTCATGCGAGTCATGCCTGCTTATAGTTAATACGACCCCCTGTACGTCTGCAGCACGCACCCCAGGCGCCACTTGACCATCTGGAAATGCAGGAACGATATAGTCAGCTAAACCCGCCTGATTAGACAATACAGACTTCTCGTCGTGTCGGCCTACTGTTGTGAAGTGTCAAGCGAGCACGGCCAGTGGGGACTATAACATGTCGGGCCGTTGACCGCGTAATGCATCCCGCTGTCAGACGATACATTGACCCCAGAAGGATACACGCAATCAAATGAGCAGGCGAATGGACTTGAGTTCCGTGTTAGATAAGTCTTTGTACCAAAACCTTTGGTCGAGCCGAGGAATGCTCATCAATGCCGCCCTGCCGATGAGATATGTAAAGCATGCGACCAGTGGCCTCTCGCACACGGCTATTATCCCTTTCATGCTCCATTCTCAAGGAAGTAAATATAGGCTTAGGGTATACGTAAACTAGGAAATGAATATCTCATCTGGTTGTGCAACTCGTGTTGGGAGGAAAGGGTGAACTTTATATTGGAGTAATATGCGCTTTGCGCAGCACGTCTTCGATCAGTCGCAGATTCGTGCTTTCGATGTGCCACGATATACTGAAAAGTTCGCCTGTTCACTCAGAGGATTGACACCAGACTGACGATCAAGGACACCATCGCCCAGGCCAGGCCTACCGATGAACCCCTACAACTCGTGTAATAGCCTCATCATTGCTCATTGCGCTGTCAATCACCCCCGCCACCTTGAGGACATCCACTACACCCTCGATGGTCTTCCGGTTTACGCCTCTGGTGCCCTGGACGAACTTGACATCCTTTAGCCATTCCGTAGCATCCTCCTCTACATAAGTACATCCCAGCTCTCCAGTACCAAGTAGCCTCACAGCCTGCGCTGTATCGGCCTCGAAATCCTTGATACCTTGGTCCAAGAGCTTGAACAGTTGTTGCAGCTTACCATCAACCTCCGGGTCTGGGAATACAGCTGTTGACGCCACGATCATCCAAGACGGCCACGGTGTGTAGATTTCTCCAATTTTCTTGAGTGGTGGATGGGGCTTCTCAGCTGTCGGGTGGAAGTACGGCTTCGTTGTGAAATGTTCCCACATGAAGAACTCAGCAGTAGGTTCAGGCTTCTTCTCCGGGTGAGAGGGATCGTACCCAGTCACTCCGTTGCGCAGAGCCTGGAAGGGTCCCAATGGGACGCTAGTCAAGGAATCGGGTTTCCAGCCGTGCTTCTGAGCAAGGACAAACGACATGATGTGAGAGCCACTGGAGATCTATTAGCACATGCATCTGTCCCTTTCCAATGTTTGTCCTCAAGTATTCGAAACACGGCAATCACGCATACCTTCCCAGTCGACTAACACCGACCCGCTTATCCTTCAGGTCGACAACATCATGGAGGTCCGCTCTCTCCGTTCCGGTGACAATAGCCCACCGCAATGGCGTAGCAACCCATTCTCCGACTACTTTATATCCACCTAAAGCTGCATCCTTCTGCGCTTGCTGTTTTCCAGCCAGACCAGCAACCCAGCCTTCAGTCAGACCAATTGCGATGTCGATTTCTTTCTCGCGCAGGGAGGTGATCATATGTCCCGTCCCGGATGGGAACGGAACTATAGAAATCTTAAACGGAAGGGATGCGACAGCGGGAGAGCGAAGGGCAAGGTGGAGAGGAGTGAGATAGTGTTCTATGATCCATAGCGTTAACGATGTTCTTCACAGGCTGTTGTTTGTATGAAGCTATAGGTCTTGTATTCGAGCTCATGGCGTGGTTATCGTGTGCGAAAGAACAGCGGAACTTACCTGGCACATATCCAATTCGGATGGTTTCCGTGTCTGAAGTCATAACGTGTTAATAATAGGAAATGATCTAGATTCCCCCAGCGATAAATTAGTTATAGGGCAATGGGGTTTCCTTAGCTGGGGTTTGTTGGAGGGGTAAAAAGCAGAGGGACTTCTGACAATACATAAATAAGTGGGGAAGAACGCGGGGCATCACGTCAGCGACCTAATTTTATATCGGATCAATATAATTAGAATTCTGTATGTTATTGATTTCATGAGCTCAAATGGGCAGTTCTATATATACCATATATTACACTGCCTATCCCAACTTGTTATAGACCGAACAGTAACTAAGAAACAATGTCCACATTAATCTAGCAATTAGTCTAAGTAATATTTCTAAAAAAGAACCAAGCATGGGTTCCCAGTATCTACAATGCATCAAGCACCAGGGAACAGCAAACGGCCGTTACGCATTCATGTCATCCGGATGTCTTTCTCCTCAACAGTCCAGTTTCCACTGGGCTCCCTAGGGCTGCCAGCAGCCCCAAACGAGGCTTTGGAATACATCCAAAACTGTACTCCAAGGTACAGATCACAGACGCACTGGAACAATGCGCATAGGCGAAAAGCCCAGGGAATTACCTCCTGGCTGCAGAAGAAGTAACTCAGTTTCATCAGATCACCGAGAATCCATGCGGCTACAACCGACAAACGGAATCCTTTGCATGAGCGTGACTGATGGTTAGCAAGAATTTGAGGCAGAGGCAAGGTAGCCTCCACAGTCAAACCGATATATCCAAGGCAGTTAATGTAGAACTCCGATTGAGCAATTGGAGGTAGGCAGATCTGGATAAACGAGAGCCCAGCAATAAAATAAGCCAAAAACATCCAATACCTAGTATCGCCGGCAAGGTAAGTTTCCCACACATATTGATAGTTCAAACGGCATCTGGAGTACATACGGCTTTGCGCTCTTCCACTGCCAGAAGTCATAGGGCCGAGTAAGTCCCCCACCATTACTGACACTGCTGAACGGAACGTGCTCGAGGCTGTTTTTAACACCGGGGGCCGGCCGATTATCCAGCGCAACCTTGAGCATAACCATTTGGACCCCAATCATGATGACGGCTTGCACCAGCAGCGTAAAAGAATAGTTGTCGCCAAACCAGAAGAATACTCTAAGCCCAAGGGTCAATTTCAAGCCGTTCAGCGCAGTGCAAAGCGGACAATATAGTCTTACTTCAAGATTGACGCGACCAGCATGATCAGAGGTATATCCAACGAGAAGCCAGCAGAACTCCTATTCCGATGAATACTGAGAATTTGATCCGCATAGGAGGTTACCGGGGAGGTGATAAGACTAGAGCATGAGAACCCACGGTCAGCTTTCCAAGGTTGCTATCCCAAATTGCGGGATTTTCGGGGAGAAAAGATATAACCCACAAGAACGGCGCTCCATATTCGAGAGCGAGTGAGATAAGATACATTGTGCAATAGTCAGTCGTCAATACTGGTTATCAGAATCTCGAGTAGCGAAAAAGAAAAGATCCCAGTTGTCGGTGCGAGTATCCGGTCTTATCCTGTGAACGGACGAAGTTGGTGGATCTCCCCCGGAGGTGAAACTGCTGTGTCAGGGACGCGCTCGATTTAAATCAGAGCTAGTCAAAATTGCTCGGGCTGCGATGATGGATCTTGATCGCGTAAGAATAAATCTTCGTCAATCGAGCCAAGCAAAGACGGACTAAAGGCTAGAGATTGTTCGCTAACCCCGTAGCCAATCTCTCTAGTGGACCATTTTCGCGACCGGCCGCATGCGTTCTTTTTTTCTTGTCCCTGGAGCTGACTCAGCGGGTCCCACTTGAGACCTTAATTTTGCTTGATTTCCAAACAATGAATTATCATGAACTGCCACATCTATATAAAATCATAAATTGCTAGTGATAATGTATTTATCTCAACAATAAATAAACAAGCGAATCTGTACGCGTTCCCATTGCTGCCTTGTCGCAAGGTCAGAACTCGATCCTCCAGGTCTTTCCAATGCTAACAGAAGGGGTTTTCACCACGGCATATGGGGCCTTTCCGTCCGGCTGGGTATGGTACTCCAGGGCCGCTGTGGACGCCGTCTTGGCACCATCCTCGATAACAGTCACGGTGGACTTCTCCTGCCACTCTTTCGGTGGATCAATAACCACCACCCTTTCAACTCGCACGCTTGCCATGGCCTTGAGGTATTCGGCTGTCTTGGGCCCCTTGGTTCCAATGTCTTCCGACGACAGAGTGGAGGCATGGAATTGGAAACGACGATGGATATACGCTCCTCGCTCATAATCAAACGTCTCACCGTCATCCACATACAGCGTGCCATCTGCCTCTCCGTTCTTGTCTAAAACAACAACAAGAGTGTACGGATCCCATTTCATCAACCCACTACTGCGGCGTGGTCGGTCCTTTCGAGGAATCACATGGCCACCCTGCATTAAAACGGGTACTTTCTCAAGAGGTGCAGGCACCTCGTGTCTCTTACCGGCCCCTTGGTAGACCGTGTAATCGAAATAATCGTAGTACTTCTCATCATCAGCGAGATAAATGTCTACAGTAGTTGCTCCCTCGGAGACTACTGGCTTCGTGAGGATACCAGTAGAACCGAGGTACAGTTGGTCATCGATGACAAAGCCTGCTTCGTCCGAAGGATGAACATAGAACTGGGGTCTCACGATTGGTGTTCCATTCACCGAAGCTTCGTGGAATGCAGTGTACCAGGCAGGTAAGAGCTGGTATCTCAAACGAATGGCCTGGGCGATGATAGACCTATGAGGCTCACTGATCAAATACGGTTCACGCCGACGAGTATCTATATGTGCGTGCGCACGGAAGAAAGGATACCAAATGCCAGTTTGATACCATCTTGTGAGGAGGTCCTTGCTCGGGTTGTGGAAGAAGCCGCCAACATCGGCCCCTGCGAAGGGGAATCCAGAAATGCCATTGTTCAGAACCATGGGCAGAGAGATGGCCAGATGTTCCCAAGTTGCCTGATTGTCACCAGTCCACATGGCAGACATCCGTTGGGCTCCAGCATAATAGGACCGTGTCAAAATGAACGGCCGACGAAGCTCGCCTTTCTTCCGTTCCAACATCGCATTATACGTCGCATTCACAAACGTGATACCGTTGACATTGTGGATGTCACGGTGCTCCCAGTTGCCATAATGAAGGTTGTCTTTAGGCATAGTGGTTTCCGGGCCGTTGAACACGGATGGCTCGTTCATATCGTTCCAAATGAAGACATTCGGAAGTGTGCCCTTGAACTTATCATATTTAAATAGGCCTATCCACCACTTGATAGCCTCCGGGTTGAAACAGTCCACCCAATGGGATGACCCTGGCCAACACCAGCCCTCGTAAATCTCACCATCCTTGTTCCGAGTGGCTAGGTTCTTGCTCTTAAGCTCCTCTGAGATTGTGTATTGCTCCTTATTCTTGATATGAGGGTCGATGATGACCACAAGCTTGCGCTCCGATGCATCAAGTTGCTCCTCCATACCAATCGGGTTGGGAAAGGTCAGGGGATCCCAGGTGAAATACTTTCTGTCATCGAGATACTCGATATCGAGCCAGATAACATCGTATGGGATCTGATATTTGTCAAAATTGCGATCGACATCTTTTACATCTTCATCGGTGACATAATTCCAGCGACACTGATGGTACGCGATGGCAAAGTGCTGAGGCAGCTGAGTATAACCAGTGAGTTCGCCATACTTCTTGCTGATATCCTGTGGTGTAGGCCCTAGGAAGACAAACACGTCGATTTGTCCAGACTCGGAGAACCAATGACTTTGAGTATCGGTTTTTGAGCTCACCCCTAGAGAAAGTGGGTTGGCAGAGGATGTCGACTTCACAATGTCTACCCATGTCTCGGCAGCATTAAGCCAAAACACACCGACAGTAGAGCCCGGTCTGTGCGCTTGCATGAGTGGAATTGCACCGTATAGAGTCATTGGACTATTGAGTTCGTATTCAAACACGTCAGAATTGTACATGCGGTAAGGCTCTTCATGGTTTCCGGAACCGCCCCTATTAAATCATCAGTTTACGTCACAGAACGAGGTAGAAGGCTTGGTAGATTTTACCTGGTCTCCCTTAAAGAAAGGGAATCAGCATGCTCTGGGATACCATAAACATGGCCGTAGCCGGGAAATGTGATATCCAATCCCACGCTCTCAGGACCTTTGGGTTTTGTATCTGTGTTTCCACCAAATGTCTCTTCCCACCAGGTGCTCTCATCTTCCTGGGATCCGTTCTGCTCACCGTCACCCTCGGAAGTATCCACCTTCCGTCGCCAATGCTCCATGTTCAGGTATCCTTTGTTATTCAGATGAACATGAGTCTGACCATCCCTTTGAAACTCTACGTCAAACGGAGAGTGACGAATGATTGCTTGGAAGTTATTCTCTGGTCCGTATAGAACCCTGGTTATTCCTGTCTCCGATTCGGAATCCAGGGTCGCAGACTTGCTCAGTTCCAGGCCACCAACCAGGACCCATTTTTCCGCTTCATTATATCTTTCCTTGCGAGCCTGGCTGTCATGGCGAAGCTCAATTTCCTTGTTCAAGCGTTTTTCTTCGTCAATGACGACTCGGGCAACTCCAGACTCGAGGAATGACACAATGAGAGGTAACTTGACCTTCTCATCGGCGGACACCGATTTAAGAATGGTTCCGTGCAACTGACCGTCCTGGAACTGGATAGATGAAGAGTCAAGTTCATATGGAGAGCTCCAAGCTGAGCCCTTGGCGGCGACGTCGTCGGCGTATGCCCTGTTTCGTTTACAGAAACCGGATTGTGAGCATTTTTTGAAATTCTCGTGCTTTACAGCGACTAAATTTAGTCGTTAGCATCATAACAACTTGTGGACCATGTGTGTAAACAAAACTTACCTCCGGGTATGACAAGACATCCGAGTAGGATGACCAAGGAAAGCAGTAAGGTCCAGCAAGTGGACAACAACCGCCTCCCGGCCATCTTTAAGCTAACAAATGCAATCAGAGACACTCAACCTCCGAGAGTGCAATACTTGTCAGCCGCTATGTGCTGACCTGCATCTACCCGAGCTGGAGGTCCGACACACGAAGCTGTCACGTTCGTTAGATCGTTGATAATAGTACAATGACCGTTAGTTCCAGGCTGGCCAGATGGTCGGCGAAGATGGGGAAGCTCCAGATTTGGTTAGGGCCGGCACTATCCCTGTTCAGGCAGCTGGGGTCAGACACCTCAGGCTGCGAGGCAATCAGGCATAGCTCTGGCCGGTAACAGCCAACGACAGCCCCTCGTGCCCCACTGTTGCGGTCCCTCCGGTGTTATATTTTCGGCCAACTCACACCAGCACCTCTGCTTTCCTTTTCCTCTCACTCTCAATCCTGTCTTTTTGATTCAATTGTCACTTTGACATCATAAATCTTTCAAAATGTCCGACGAGCAGACGTAAGTCACCCCAAATTTTTCACCTAGTCCCTTTCATCCCCCCTTCCTTCACTCTGGAATATTTTTTTCTTTTTGCCATCGACCGGTTGCCCCTCATTGTCTACTCAAGCTAACCAATTGATGTAGTTTCATTGCCATCAAGCCCGACGGTGTCCAGGTATGGATCTTGAATCACCCGATTTTGCCATGATCCATACGGATATGGCGCTTTCGGGGTGAAATCAATACTAACCATGTCAATCAGCGCGGACTCGTTGGCCCCATCATCTCTCGCTTTGAGAACCGTGGGTTCGTATTTTTCCAATCCGAACAATGTGCCTACAAGCTCTGTACTAATGAATCATAGCTTCAAGCTTGCTGCCCTGAAGCTCTGCTCCCCCTCCAAGGAGCACCTCGAGCAGCACTATGCTGACCTCAGCTCCAAGCCTTTCTTCCCCGGCCTCGTCTCCTGTAAGCTCCTTGCCATGAATGAGGCCATAACTTTGTACGGAGATGCTGACATTTACTTCTAGACATGCTGAGCGGCCCCATCGTCGCCATGGTCTGGGAGGGCCGTGAGGTCGTTAAGACCGGCCGCAGTAAGTTCTCGTCCGCTATGACCCTGAAGACCAAACGCTAAGATAATCGTTAGCCATCCTCGGTGCCACCAACCCTCTTGCCTCCGCCCCTGGCACCATCCGTGGTGACTTCGCCATTGTAAGACAGTTTCCCCCCCGTGACCCGTAACACTCTGTGTGCATGACTCTTACTCTTGTATAGGATGTTGGCCGCAACGTCTGCCACGGCTCTGACAGCGTCGAGAACGCCAAGAAGGAGATTGCTCTCTGGTTCAAGCCTGAGGAGCTCCAGAAGTACAAGCACAGCCAGTTCGACTGGATCTACGAGAAGGCCTAAATTTCTCTGCTCGATCTGAAGATTTGAAAATCTGCTCCCTGGTTCGATTCAAACTGTAAGGGCAGCAAATGATATAAATCAGAAAAGTCGTCCTGAGAAATAGAAATTATACAATATCTACAAGCCTAAATACTCTGTGCAAAATAGTCTTATGTACTTCCCGGTCTTGGTGCATCATCATCATCAATCCGGAATTTGTAGTGACACTAGTGGCCGTCAAACTCTACTTTCTCCCCAACAGCTTTTTGAACCCTTTTCCTGTCGGTACCAGTATGGCTCGGGCAAACCAAGGCGTCGCCCAGACACTTGCGGCAATCCGGAGCGGTAGTAAAGCCTTGGTGACCGCATACGCCGTCGCAAACTCCAGCACCAGGCGTACACCTTTCCTGTCGCTCTCCGTCATTTGATCTTTTGTGACAGGGTCATAGCTGTTTACACCTCCGGCCAACTCAATGGCGTCCACATCAACATTTTCGACCCAGCCTTTCTTCTGCAACCACCGCCCGAATCGTCGGGTTCCTTCTTCAAAGGCGTTACTTGAGGTTAAGTCTGGTAGCCAATTGCCGTAGTGAAAAGCCGTCACAAGTCCGAATAGGGGTACAATGGCGGTAAGTTCATGTAGGATCAAAAAGGAGGTAATATGCGTTCCCGGGGCCCCAAGTAACGGGGTCGTATAGGCGCGAAGGAAGGACGGGAGCCGATCATTCAGCTTGCGGAGGCGAGATGTCGAGTCCTTTGGAGTGGAAGAGGTGGGAGTAGAGAATTGGCGACGGGACATATGCTTGAAAGATAATGAAAGACGATTTCGGTGAAAGGGCACCGATTGGCGTCGAAACAGGAACATCTTGCGCCGTGATCTATAATTGTTGCGGATCTACGAAAGTTGTAGCGTCTGCATTTCATCCATGAATGTATATTGTGTTGATCCGCGACAACGGGTTGATGTTTGCTATGTTTGCAACCAGGCGTCTTGGAATCCCAAATAGTAAGTTTGTTGGAGAATCCATGATGGGCCCATCTTTTGGGTAGCTTGCGCTGATAGCATGCGAACTGTTTCAAGGTCAGATCCAATTAAGACCACCGAAGTCCCGATCATAGTCTCTCTCGACCATGTCATGGAATCCTAACTTCATGGAGATGGCATTGGCATGTTTCCCTTTCCGTTAATCGGAGGGCCCGTTAAACTCCGGCCCAAACCTTTCCCTCCCCGATGGATATCGCCCCAGTCATCCTTCTTCAACTACCACCCTTCCCGTACCTTCGTCGGAACAGATTCTGGGAACAAGATGGAGAAGATTACGGATAAGATTGCGGCGCTGCCGCCGGACGCAAACTACTTCTCTTTGGAGTTCTTCCCTCCAAAGACTCAGATGGTGGGGTACCCTTCCTCCCCGCACTGAGGGTACTTCCAGGTATCAAGATTGACTGCTAACCAAGTCCGGTTCTCGTAGGGCTTTGCCAACCTTCAAGCCCGCCTGGAGCGCATGGCACAAGCTTTGCGACCATTGTTCGTCACGGTCACCTGGGGCGCTGGAGGTAGCACTGCACAAAGGTCTCTCGAGTTGGCGGAAATCTGCCAGCGCCAGTTGCAATTGACAACATGTTTACATCTTACCTGCACTAACATGAGTCGGGCCTTGGTGGATGAGGCACTAGAAGAGGCCAAGGTATTGGGAATACGCAATATCCTGGCTCTTCGTGGCGATCCGCCGCGCAGTGAGGAATACAGCATGCATGGAGAAGACGATAGCAACAAGGACTTTACGTTTGCGGTAGACCTAGTACGGTACATTCGCCAAAAGTACGGTGATTACTTTTGTCTAGGTGTGGCGGCCTACCCAGAAGGTCACCCAGTCGATTCTTTCCAAGACGTCCAGGATCCCAAGACCGACCTTCCATATCTAGTCGAGAAGACTCAGGCGGGTGCAGACTTCATAATGACTCAGTTGACATATGATATTGAGGCATACACTAAGTTTGAGAATATGCTACGGAACCACGAATCGGGCGCCTTCAAGACCATCCCTATCATTCCTGGCTTGATGCCAATCCACAGCTACAAGATCTTGACGAGGGTGACAAAACTCAGCCATGTCCAAATTCCGCCCCAGATTCTCTCGGAGCTAGAAGCAGTTAAACACAATGACGATTCTGTGAAGCGCATTGGTGTGGATATTATCAGCAATCTTGTGGATGGCATGAGAGATATCCCTTGTCCTGGAATCCGAGGGTTTCACTTTTATACACTGAATCTTGAGAAGACGGTGTCCTTCATCCTGGAACGCTGCGACCTGATCCCTCCTTATTCTGAAGATTTCGACGCAATAGAAGATGGCGAGGAGATCTCTGCCATGGACGGGGCTCAACTTCGCTCTCTAACCAGGAGAAGGGCTTCATCTATCAATTCCCTTCCCCATAACCGGGTCATTGTAGACAAACTACACGCTTCTGAAGTGTCATCGAAGGCCTCCATTTCTCATGAAGCCCCCGCTACTAGTGCTGGGATGCCTGCGATGCCACCAGATCGCAGTACAACCCTTCAGATTTCTGAAGGTCTGGGTGCACTTGGTAGGGAGGCTACGTGGGATGACTTCCCCAACGGTCGCTGGGGTGATGCTCGTTCGCCAGCATTCGGTGAGATTGATGGCTATGGTCCATCATTACACGTTCCTCCTTCAGTTGCCCACAGAATCTGGGGTTTCCCTGTGTCGCGTGAGGACATCAGCGCTCTCTTCCGCCGCCACGTCTCAGGTGAACTGCATATGGTTCCATGGTCAGAAGGCGGTGCTGAAGAAGGTAGCTCTGGCTTGAATGCAGAGACAGAAGTCATTCGTCCAGAGCTTCTACAACTCATTGATGGTAATGGCTGGTGGACGTTAGCATCTCAGCCAGCTGTGAACGGCGTTCGTAGTGATGACCCTATTTACGGCTGGGGTCCCCCTCGCGAAGGATTCGTTTTCCAGAAGCCATTCGTTGAGTTTTTCTGTCCCAGCAAAGACTACCACTCAATACTTAAGCCACTACTTCAGAAGCACGGGCATGAGAAACTTGCCTGGTTCGCTACCAATGCTAAGGGTGACTTCGAATCGTCTCTGCCGGCCCAAACCTCCGACGCTGATCCCATTGAAATGAACCCGAATAATGTCAACTCCGTCACATGGGGTGTCTTTCGTGGAAAAGAAATCGTCACCCCCACTATCATTGAAGAGGTCAGTTTCCGCGCTTGGGGCGACGAGGCGTTTGGAATCTGGGATGAATGGCGCAGCATCTACCCCCGTAACTCCGCAACCGAGCGTTTCCTCAATGAAACCAAGGACGACGTTTGGCTCGTCTGCGTTGTCGGGCAGGACTTCGGCGCGGGCACCGATATGGGATCAGAGGAAGAGGAGGATGAGAAGAAGTTTATGTGGAGGGTCCTACTGAACGCAAAATAAGCAGCGTTGGATTTTCTTAGTCCCGAGTACTGCACAGTATAAAACCGCTTCAAGGAACCATGAGTGACATCGTTCCCATGTTCATATTTGCTTCATGGCATCATGATCTTATGATCAATCATAATCACGTTGTAGTTATTGAATGACAGTCTAAGCTTTAGAGATCATATATCTAGCTGGAATGCATGGTTGTGGGGCACATTTGCTCGCTTTAAACAGTATCGATCCCCAAGAATCAAGGCTATGGGAGACAGAAACAAAACCGACGGTGAACACCACATACGCCTCAGCACCAAAATTCGTGTCAGTAGCGTCAGGTATAGAATTCATATATACTGTAAAACTGAAACTCAGGAGGACAACTTCTTGGCAAATCCATGTTCCTCGAGCCCCTCGGCCCCCGTGTCCGGGGTAGCAATCGAGGATTGCGATTCGGCAAGCGTTCCTATGGCGTCCAAGCGACCATATGCGCGAGGGTTACGGCGAGGTTCATTTGGTCCCCTGCTTGGGGCCTGGTAGCCACGAACTCTGTGGAAAGATCGTGTCAGTGGTATTGCGTTGAAACGTATAGGAAGGGAAACGAGGAGCTAGCTTACCTTGGGCCCTGGCCTGTTTTTTCAGGTAGTTGAGAGGCGTAAATACGCTGGAATCTTTGAACATCTGACTCGAAAGTACCCTGTTGGATACTTTCTCTGATCTTCGCGAAGAAACTATCCATCGTGTGGAGATTGTGGAGTTGGAGGAGAGCCCAAGCCAGCATTTCCTTCGCCGACAGAAGATGGTGGATATATGCGCGATGATGATTTCGGCAGGTGTAGCACTGGCATGCTTCGTTGAGCGGCGCTGTGTCTGTTGTAAAAGTAGGCGCCCATAGATCAATTGCCAACGGTTTGGATTGTGTGGCAGATGTGTCATGGGCATCAGATGGTGGCGGAAAGACAAAGTCCAAGGCCATGCCGGCGTCCGTGGCGTGACCCAAGAACGGAATTGTTAGAAGGTCAGCGCCAAGGGAGACTTCGCGCAAAATGTCATGTGGAGTAGCTGGTTCGCTGAAGAGCAACCGGGGGAGATGTCCTAAAGATTCGGGAACGACAGACAGCGACTCCGACTCATACAATGCAAGACCGGAAATGTACCGTCGGAGTTCGTCTTCCAGGTCATCCAAGTACAGTGTCTGCTGCGCATTGTCCAACGGTAATATGGGAGCAAAGTAAGCCGTCTTCGAGCGATTTTCCTCGGAGACCGCATCTCCATAAAGCTGCTCCGTAGAATACGTAGTGAACGCATGAGTCCTATCCACCATCTTCCCTTGTCTCTTCAAGCCAGGCCGATGGGTCAAGACCAAATCGGCCAGACCCACCACAATATCTGGACGTAATTTCTGCACGGCTTCGACATACTGACCAGTCCCCAGTTGTCCGAAGCCAACGGCGGTGAGCACAGCAATCGAGTTTGGTGTATTCGATGGCGGACACGCGAGCGGCGGCACGCGACGTGGGCCCAAAACCAGCACAGGATCTTCGGGGAGGCAAACAAAGTTGCGCAGAGGCGACTCATTCGGCGCAGCTGGCGTCTTGTAGACCGGTGGGCATGCTTTCTTCTGCAGCTTTTCTATGACTGATCTTTAACTGTCAGCGCCTTGCGTGCTTCAAAATACCCAGGATATCGAAAAGTTGGGGACGTAGTCAAATGCATACAATCTTCTAGAGCAAAATACAGACCGCTAATAGCAGTCTGCTCACGCATGACATCGTGCGCGACATGGGGTACGGCTCCCCGCGACGTCAATGGGATGTAGTGCGGCGTAAGGATAGCATTTCTGCCCGCGATTGCCAACTTGCCCAATCGCGGGGCCAATGTTGACGCAGTAACAGAATTTAGAAGACTAAAATTGACCATATCATTGGGAGGCCGTTGCGAAACATCAGAACCCATGGCGGTGCACCGGAGAGATTCGAGACTGGCGCAGTGCTGATCTGCTGATTGTTCGGGGAAAAGAGAAATTAATCTGACCAAAAGAGGGAAGTGGGATGCCTGAAAATACAGACGGAGTCCCTGAATTTAATCAATCCAAGTCTCCGCTGTGCACAACTCCGCATTGTTACTTCTTCCTCTGAACGTCGGACAGGAAATCTGTATTTTATTTTCGAGGGATATTTTGAATTTTTCTCAACTCCAAACGTTGCTTTCATAGTCAACTATTGCAACTACCATTATCATTATTATTCTTATTATCAATCAGTCATACACCATGTCAGAAAACACAAATCGCGGAGAAACACGCGGGGCGCTCATTGTCGTCGAGGGCTTGGATCGAGCTGGAAAATCAAGCCAGTGCGAGCACCTGCGCGACCATCTGCAAGAGTCAGGCCACTCAGTCAAATATGTTCGGTTTCCAGGTATCTCTCGCAGCAAGATCTCTCCGGTCATGCGGACAACACTCTAATTTAGTTCCTTTCCAGACCGCACCACGGCCATTGGCAAACTAATTGATAGCTATTTACGTGGTCAGTCACAGTTGGATGACCACTCAATTCATCTCCTCTTCTCTGCCAACCGTTGGGAGATTGCCAAGGATATTAAAGCAGACATAGCCAAAGGGATCACCGTGATTGTGGACCGTTACTCATACTCCGGTGCCGTGTACTCTGCCGCAAAAGGAATTCCAACTTTGTCTCTTGGTTGGGCGTGGCAGCCAGAAGTCGGATTGCCCCGACCAGACATGTGCCTTTTCCTTCGTATCTCTCCTACAGAGGCCGCAAAGCGGGGCGGGTTTGGCGTGGAGCGGTATGAGAACGAAACCATACAGAGCCGTGTGCGCGAACTCTTCCAGACTTTATTTGACCTGCAACCCCATGGCGACATCCACGTTGTAGATGCAGGAAGATCATTTCAAGAAGTATCAGAAGAGATTTGGAGCAAAGCAACTGACTGCATAGCGCGCGTTGGGATTATTGGGCCTTTGCGGAAGTTTGACTCGATTGCAGCTTGATTCGGACTCGATTGGCTAAGGGCGAATCCACGGGAGCGTTTATCCTGTATTATCACCCATCGCTATCCTCGATGACTATTTCGACTCTTGTGGCCATTGCAGGATGGCCCTTCGACCAATCATCGATCTCATGGTCTGATTCGAGGGCCAGCGACTCATACCAGTCATCTTCTAGAGGGATGTCGTCGTGGGTGCCTTCATCGGAGGCATTGTTCGGCCCCTTTACTGAGTTACCCACTGACTCGGGAAAGTCACAGTGTTCTGCAGTAGCTGTGCTCACACCATCAGTGTCCTCACTCGGAACGTCATTTTTCCTGTAATCCCCTCGTTTCTTTTTCCTCAAAATAGCCTGCAATTCCTTTTCTCCTCGGGTTCGTAAACTCAGTTCCTGCATCATCAGGGACCATTGGACAATTTTGTGGCATCCAGGACATTTTCCAGCTAGGGGTACTAGTCTTCCTCGCTCCGTGGTAGAATCTAGGAACCTAGCCGATAGACATAATAAATGACTCACGCAGTAACAGCGCATCTGAGGACAGACAACTACCAGCTCTTCCTTGGGGACAACCGGTGTTTGGCAAACTTTGCACTGCAAGTCTTCTGGATCGTCCAGCTGAAACGCTGCCTTCTCCAAGTAATTATACATCTTACTGTAATCGACCTGAATGTGCTCGACGCTACCAACTCTTGCGTACTCGATGCCAGGCTGCTTATTCTCGACACAGCTACCATCTGGGATAACTTTGATGTGCTCCGGAATGACACCATCTACGCGATCACTCCAAACCCTCCACAGTTGGTGAACGTCTTCAGCAAAGAATCGTACTCTGAGAGGTAGACTAGAGAAGTATGTCGATCGTAGCAAAGCGTGCAAATTCTCCAAGTGCCCTTTCAAGGACCTCGCGGGGCCACGAGGCCGGGTCTTACCCTTCCCTCCGGCAGATTCCGTATTATCATCACCAAAGCCAAGATGGCGAGATTTGCCCGGCTTCTGCCATGCCCATCTGCAGAGATATTAGATATATAGTCCAGGCTAATGATGAGAAAGATTAAGCCGTGTATATAGCACTAACTCAAGAACCAAGTGCTTGCGGCAGGAAAGAAGGGGGTGGGGGAGGAGGTAGATGAAGAAAATGAAGAGCCAAAGAACTCCACGTACTCAAACTGCAAGGCAGCAGTCCGACTCATAAAGCCTTCTACAATGAGCACCATTTCCCAAGGTCTCTTGTCATTTGCAGTCTTGCGTGCTCCACCTTTTGAGACTCCATTGTGCTGCGCGAGCCGTCTAGATGGATGAGGAGTGGAGCCAATGTACAGAGAAGTTTGCCGAACGGTTGATCTCAGGAGATAACAGCAATAAAAGGCCGGGATAGGTTTTGTATGGACGTCATCCACATCGGCCATCGCTCAGAGGACTCAGGTGTGACACCGTTTTACCAAAAGTTGGTTATACTCAAAATTGATGGTTTGTGTCTGTGGATATTTGCCTCTTTGCCTATGTGCATTGTACGATGGTGACAATCCCATGGTAAAGCTGCATTCGTTGTCGACAACTATTGTAAATGTTGTCGCACTGATATATATCCTGGTCACATGACACGCATGTTATAAGCAGCACCTAGTGCCACCTACTGCTGAATATGGTCTTTTAAAGTTGTCTCTTTCTGAGAAAAGATTACTTCCTGTATTTATGCAATGTAACATTACACAAACCCCACATCCTAAAACGAGGCAACTGAACCATGGAAATTTGAAATCTGCGCTGGTGTCAAAGCAGAGAATCGTGGCATGCCTCAGGCACCACCGACTGGAATCATATGATCTCACCAAGAACTTAATGAATTTCCATTTCAGCCTCAGGAATAATATCGGAAGGGGGATTGCATGATCCGCAATGTCAGCGCGATACAACAAGGGGCCAAAGTGCTTGGTAGATAATCCAAGCGACTAATACAGAAAGATTAAAAAACGAGAAAGGTTGAATATATAAACTATAGAATTTAGGTAGTTAGAGCTATGAGAGTAGAAACCCCATTTGTAGTACGTACAGAGTGCATACAAGTTTTCAGTGGTAGTGTTGGGGTCAATAAGATGGCCTATTATTATTTATTGGAAAATAGTATGTACATCCATACTCGATAAGCGTGGGTTCCCCCCGTGGAAAATCACTCGCATACCTCACTACTCCGTTCTGAGATGATAGACAAACACAAAGCCGACGCGGTGGCTTCGCTATGGACTGGAAAACCCGATCTAGTCCGGAAGCAACCCACTTGTAAAATTACGGGTTCATGTGATATGAAAAATAGCGTATCCTGCATGACGACCACCATCATGGACCAGTGACAAAAGACGCTTATCAGGGCACAAATCCGCTAAACAAGTTCTGGGTGGCCCTCAGAAGCATTTGAAGTCAGACTATGTCTCATTATCAATTAGGGATCATTGCTATTGTGGTCGGATCCGGACCATGGTTGACGTGTCATAACTGACTGCGTTTCATAGACCCCATACGGAGTACACGCTACTCCCTAGGGCTCAGGGACCCTACCGGGACAATGCTTTTCTCCTGAGACCGACTCGGGTCAACGGAAAAGATATTGCATCTTTCATGGGTTAGTTTGTATTGTTTGTAGGAAGATACGTTAATCATCTCATGAGAACGACTTGCGGTTGAAACTAGGTAGTGGACAGCCCGACAAACCCCCATAAGCCTGCGGTAATAGTTACCAACTTCATACGTCTCCTGCGGTACAGTACCATTGGGGAGGGATCATTCCCTCTACTCAATTGGACCTGCAAAGATGCTTGGTAGAGTTATTCCACCTGAATGGAATCTGTGTTCGCTCTTCAACTATCCACGGAGTATTAATAGTGTAGGAAAAATGCAATAGACGTTCTTCATATAGCCTGCGATGGAGCTCCAGCTACGTGCAATTTCCAATTCTGGTAATATCTCGTCACATCGCACCGTTTGCGGCCAGCAGATATCTTTCGATACCGTAATACGGAGACCTGATATTACGGTTCAAGGGTTTTCGCTACCAGCCCCAGAAGTAAAGTAATCGTAGTGAAGCAAGTGCAATACAAATCATGGATCGAAGCCTAGGTATAACTTTTCTATTTTTTTTTTTTTACTCCTCTTTTCTTTTTTTCTTTTTTCTTTTTTCCCCATCCTTTCAGCCCCCCTTCCTTTAGTTTGGCTTCCCTTCCGATGGTGCGCTCCATCTTCTGAAAGCAAAAACAAAAAAAAATATTCTTCCAAAGGTCAATTCATCCACTTATATACTCTCTGTAATACTAGTTGACGGAGGAGCTGACATGAACTTACCGGCAGTATAGTACGACTACTGAGGTAGGTTTATATCTTCTTCCCACTTGGAGTACACATACGCTGGACCCTCTCGAATAAATTCCCGTCCCGTAAGTAAGTACCATACCGAACCTAAACTGAGGTACGACTAACTTGACGTGAGTGACTTAGTCGGATTACTTACCTAACCAACCACCTGCCCTACCTTACTTTACTTTACACACCCAATTCAACACTAACTACCCATCGATCTACGATCATTCCTCCAATCGTTACCGGCTGCTAATTCACAATTACACGCATAGCTCCTCTTCCCCCATCAACAACCGAATTGCTACCTAGGTTTACTTTCCTGCGCTGACCTGCCCTTGGCCTGGTGGCACACGCTACCGGTTCTTGATCCTCTTCCGAGATTCTCCACACTCTTTGTCCTCCCGGGTTCATCTCGGGCTTGCCTTAGACATCTACTTTATCCTCTCCATCATCGACTTGCTCCCCCCCCGGGGCGTGCCTCACATATAGCCGCTGCCCTTACTACTTCCCTCAATCAGTCGGCTCACTTGCTTGACCATCCGTATTCCTCCACTCCTCGTCGGTTGTCCTTTCTCTCATGTGCCTTTCACATCGGATGACTGCCCCCTTCCATCTGCGATAAGACACGCGCAATTTTCTTCCGCTCGCGATCAGACCGTCGCATATAAGAAATGGTGGCTCCGGCCTCGACAGGAGGCAACTCGACTGGCGGACAGCCTTCGGCGAGCCGTCAACCCACCCGATCCTCTAGCACCCACCCGTCGCATTCTCACAATGTACCCTTAAGTGCTCGACGGTCTATACCTCTCGACTTGTCCACAGTGGAGCGACGGGGACAACCCAATGCCCCTCGAGAGCCAAGTAAACGTATCCGACCTCACGGTTTACAAGAGGCTCCTACGTTTCGGCCAACTGAGGAGGAATTCAAGGATCCGGAAAAGTACATCCGCAAGATAGCGCCCGAAGGCAAGAAATATGGAATTTGCAGGATTATTCCACCTGAAGGCTGGCAACCGCCGTTTGCCATTGATACAGAGGTATGTGCATGCTTTTCATGATTTGTTGGCTTTCCAGGGTACACATCTAGGGCTGTCTATCAGCTTGGATGGGGATTCCTTTTCCCTCTTCTGCCATTCACAATACTATAAGTGAAGTATGGAGGCTGACAAACAGTCTCACAGCGATTCCACTTCAAAACCCGCCGACAGGAGCTCAACTCGGTTGAAGGAGGTATGCCCCCGCGTTCAGCCACGTCTGCCGCCGGTGGTGCTCCGCAGCCCAGTTCTGACCCGGACCCAGGAACCCGAGCAAATCTAAATTATCTCGATCAACTGGCCAAATTCCACAAACAACATGGAACCAATCTCAACCGTTTCCCGAGCGTCGATAAACGCCCTCTGGATTTGTACAAGTTGAAGAAGGCTGTGGAGGTTAGGGGTGGCTTTGACCAAGTATGCAAGATGAAGAAGTGGGCTGAGATTGGCCGCGATCTTGGCTACAGTGGCAAGATCATGTCTTCACTTTCAACATCTCTGAAGAATTCCTATCAGCGATGGCTCCAACCATATGAAGAGTACCTCCGCGTGGCTAAGCCCGGGGTGCAGCAGCAATTGGAGCTGGAACATGGTGGTCCTTACACACCATCGCCTCATCAGTCGCCTATGGCTAAAAAGCCCATGCCACTTGACAATGGCACGCCACACATGCTTCCTAAGGGAACAATGAGTCTCCCGCCATCAGCTCCGCAGAGCACTCCGAGGGAGGTTGAAGCAACCCCGGATAAACCAACACCTCCAGTTGAGCCGACGCCTCCTCGGCCGATAGCTTCTGGATTCACCCCTGTGAATGCTAGCTCGGGATTTACTGCTGTCAACCGGTCGCCATCTTTTGTGGCGGTAAACAACAATCCGACCATAAAGCGTGAAATAGAAAATGGCTCTTTGACACCGAAAAGTGTGGCTGAGCATCCTTCAATTTCGACTCCTGTCTCTAATGGCCATGGCCATCATACAAAGCGCGCGATTAGCCACGAAAGTGGTTCTCAAACTGAGAATGGAGACGACCCGAACGGTCGACGTAGTAAGCGTCTCCGCAAAGGTGTGTAAAGATTATTACCATCCGTTACTGTATGCGAACCTAATGATTTCGTAGATGCGCCTTTACCTACAATTGCCGGTTCACATATGAGTCTTCTTCGGCCTGCTCCTCCCCGGTCACGGAAGAGTGACGGCCGCAAGACGGGTGATGTAAGCTGATATCACGTTGTCGATCTTTATTATAATGTGCTAACTGTACCTAGAAATGTGAGAATTGTGGCAAATCAGAAGATAGCTCCTCGATCCTGGTATGCGATAGTTGCGAGCAAGGATACCACAAGTACTGTCTTGACCCCCCTCTGACTGCCATCCCCGAGTACGACTGGCACTGCCCAAAGTGCCTGGTAGGCACAGGGGAGTTTGGCTTCGAAGAAGGAGGAGTCTACTCGCTGAAACAGTTCCAAGAAAAGGCAAATAACTTCAAAAAGAGTTATTTCGCCTCAAAGATGCCATTTGATCCAGTCCTGAACAGCCACAGACGGGAGTCTGAGGACGACGTGGAACGCGAGTTCTGGAGATTGGTCGAGAGCCTGACAGAGACCGTTGAAGTAGAATATGGTGCTGATATCCACTCAACTACTCACGGTAGTGGATTTCCTACTATTGAACGGAATCCCCTCGATCCTTATTCAGTTGACCCTTGGAACCTGAATGTTCTTCCTTTCCACGGTGACTCGTTGTTCCGCCATATCAAGTCGGACATCTCTGGCATGACAGTCCCCTGGGTTTATGTCGGCATGTGCTTCTCGACATTCTGCTGGCATAATGAAGACCATTATGCGTACTCGGCCAACTATCAACACTTCGGTGCCACAAAGACTTGGTACGGTATTCCCGGGGCTGATGCAGAGGCGTTTGAGGAAGCGATGCGGCAGGCAGTCCCGGAGCTTTTCGAGGGTCAGCCTGACCTTCTCTTCCAACTCGTTACCTTGATGCCGCCAGATCAGCTCAGAAAGGCCGGTGTCAACGTGTACGCGCTTGATCAGCGGGCTGGGCAGTTCGTCATCACCTTCCCCCAAGCTTACCACGCAGGATTCAATCATGGCTTCAATTTCAATGAGGCTGTCAACTTTGCGCCTGCAGACTGGGAGCCTTGGGGTGCAGTGGGTGTGGAGCGTCTCCGGGATTTCCGGCGACATCCGTGTTTTTCGCATGACGAGTTACTTTTAACAGCAGCAGCTCGTGATACGTCCATTACAACTGCTAAATGGCTATCTCCGGCCCTTCAGCGGTCCTGCACACGGGAACTTTCTGAGCGAGCTGCATTTTTCTCCCGACACCGGGAGATTGCTCTGCACCATTGCACGCTTGGCTCCGAAGATGCCATGGACATTGGTGGTTGCCAGCTAAAGTTCGTAGTCGAAGATGAGGACCTACCTGAAGAAGATTACCAGTGCCAGTGGTGCAAAGCATATACTTATCTGACACAATTTCGCTGCCATAAAACCGGGAAAACCGTTTGTTTGTCGCATATCGATATGAATGTTTGTTGCGGAGAGCCACTAAAACAAAGGCTACTTGGGCCGGATCACACATTACGTTACCGATATAGTGATGAGGCTCTGAAGGCGTTGGTGCAAAAAGTTCAGGACCGTGCCAGGATCCCGGAAGCATGGGGTGAGAAGCTCGACAAGACTTTGGAAGATGAGCCTAGGCCACAGTTGAAGGTCCTTCATAATCTATTGAGTGAAGGTGAGAAAATCCCATACCATTTGCCTGGTCTCCAAGATCTTGCGGCCTTCGTCCAGCGCTGCGATAAGTGGGTTGAAGAAGCAACCAACTATATTACCCGGAAGCAGCAAAACCGGAGGAAAAATGAGAAGGCTTGGCGCAGAAGTAGTTCTAAGGCCGCGCAGCTGGAAGAACGTGATCGTGAAGTTCGCAGAGTAGAAAATATCTACGCCCTTCTTGCAGAGGCTGATAAACTGTCGTTCGACTGTCCACAGATGGCTTCTCTGGAAGAGAAGACCCGCGAGATCGAGAAATTCCGCCAGGACGTTAACGTTGCCCTCATGAACCCCCACATTCGATCGGTCCAGGAAGTTGAAGATCTGGTGGAGTCCGCACGTAATTTCAACGTGGATATTCCCGAGGTTGAAGGACTGGAAAATATTCTCCGGCAAATGAAATGGAACGAGGAAGCGCGCCGGAAGCGCGATCAGTACCTGACGCTCAAGGACTGTCAAGAGCTAATCCTGGCTGGTGAGCAGCTGGGTTTGTCGGATACCAACGATCATCTGGTCTATTTTAAGGATCTATGCCGCCATGGTGAGGCCTGGGAAGCTAAAGCCAAGGAATTGATGTCTGTAGAAGCTGTTCACTACCAGCAGCTGGAAGCTTTGTCTGCCCAGGCTTCCCGTTTCCCTGTCTCCCCTGAGACGCTTTCTGCGGTAGATGCCATATTGACAAAACAGCGTGAAGCGCAGAAGAAAATCCAGTCTCTGTACGAGAGAAGCAGGGATCCGGAATTCAGGAACCGCCCTAAATACAAGGAAGTCCGCGAACTCATGGAGTCCCTTGAGGAGCTAAACAGCCGGCCAACTGGAGCCATTGACCTGGAACGTGAGCAGAAGCGCCATGAGGATTGGATGAGAAAAGGCAAGAAACTATTCGGAAAGGCAAATGCGCCGCTTCACATCTTGAAGTCGCATATGGAGTATGTTGAAAAGAGAAACTCTTACTGTTTTGATTTGGAAGATCGCTGTCGGCCGCCGGTCGAACCTTCATCGCGAGATAACACCCCCGATGGTTTGTTAGACAATAACACTATCACTCCTAGCATGTGGGGCGGTGGGAAATCGCGGAAGCGAGACGTCTTCTGTATCTGCAGGCACTCTGAAGCTGGAATGATGATTGAGTGTGAAGTCTGCCACGAGTGGTCGGTCTTCCTTGCTCCCATCCCCTTCGGTTATATAATGATATAGGCACTGGCTAACCCTCATTCATAATAGGTATCACGGCAAGTGCCTCAAGATTGCAAGAGGCAAAGTCAAGGAGTTTGACAAGTATACCTGCCCTATCTGCGATTGGCGCCAAAAAATACCCCGAGATGCGGCTCGTCCAAAGCTAGAAGATCTTCTAGATTGGCAGGCCGAAATCGCAGGCTTGCCTTTCCAACCTGATGAGGAACAAACCTTGGACAACATTGTCAATCAAGCAGTCGGGTTTCGAGATTTCCTCCATGGCTTCACCAACGCCGCGTGCACCACTACCGAGGAGGTTCCCACATTGATATTCTATCTCCGGAAGATAGAAGGTGCGGAGGTCTTGTTGGCCTACGAAACCAATTTCTTCCGACAGGAGATTCATAAATGGGCTCCGGTGGCACCAGAAGCGCCTCCGATCCTGGAGCAGTCTCTTTCGACTCGCAAGCCACGTCCAACAAAACAGCAAAAGATTATGGCACAGCTCGGTGTTGACCGTCCCGAGGATCTCCCTCCTCATTTGCGTACAAAACAACCTAGCCGTAAATCTATTGATCTACAGTCGGGCAAGTCTTCCCTGCTTCCTGAATCACAAACGCCGGGCGATGGCTCGAATTCCGATTCCAATCGTGGTGAACCTACATTAGCACCAATGACCGATGCCCAAAGCCCGCCTTATCCTTTCTCTGCCAATTATTCGCTTCCTGCAAGCGACTCTACACCGGCCTTTGCTCCCGGCTCTTCTGCTTTTCTGCCACACGCTGCCGCTCACTCCCCATCATTCCCTGTGCGCTCCCCATCTCCAGGTCACCAAGGACTTGATGCATCTCTCTTTAGCTCTCCGCAGTTTAATCAGGGCCCAGAAAACGAGCCACCAGTGGTTGATGTCGATAATGAAAATCCATTTGACAGCAGTCCCCGGCAGAACCTTGACGATGTCTTCGCAGATTTGACAAATCAAGATGCAGAGCCCGAGCCGGAACCAGGGCAAGAACCAGAGCTTATGGAGAACACACATGCTAACGAGGCTCTGGAAGTACTTGATGCGAGCAATGGGGATCGTTCTGAAACTCCGCAGGATGAGGAGCCACAGGACGATAAGTCTAGTGCGGAAGCCAACGGCTCAGGTGAGGGCGATCGCAATACAGAGGAGCTGTAACGTTGTTTTCGAGAATAATGCTTATCAAGAAGTGGACGCTTTACGGGCTCTTCCAGCTTTTTTGCCTTACGCATTCATGACAACAATGCGAGTATAACGATATCTCCAAAACGAGTTCGATCAAAAGACTTCGTTTGATCCATGGTTTTCTGCATGATCCGACATTCCAGGGTGTTGCCTTTACAAGTCTCCAGGGAGGCTTACTCTTGTGTTCTTTCTGTAAAGTTATTATATGGTATTGATGTTCCCGAGACGTGCTTTCCTTGTCAGCCGGTTTTGACAATCTTTCTATTTGTTGCGACTCAGCGATCTGTTGCTTCTTCCTCTCTTCCTCTCTCTCTCTCTCTCTCTCTTTGCCATGGCTTACGTCTGCTTACATGGACCGGGTGTTTAAAAAAATGTGGGGTGTCTGGGGAGCTGGCAATTTCTCAACTCGTGTGGTCTTTTCCCTCGTCTTATCTTTATGTTATTTTTTTTTTCACCTTTTCTTCTTTCTTTGCTTCAATTGATATTTGTGTCGTTCTATATTTACATGGGTGAACTTAAAGTGATAGCCCATGGCCTGTCATCTCATTTCACCACCTATGCCTTTAAAAGGCCAAACAAGCTCGTCTCTGTACGCTGGTATCATTGAGCGGTATGCTCATGTTTACTTGATTCCTCTTGTCTTTGCTTTGTTTGGCCCTATGCTCTGTGTACTACTAGTCAGACTACCATTATTCTGTACTCTTAATGAATAGACATTAGTTCGCTCAAGCTGTCATTCTCGCCTTTGCCACTTTAGCGGATGTCTGCATACGCGCTTAGGGCCGACTGCCCACCGGTGTGGATAAACAGTGCATTTACTCGATTCCCGCTGGACGAGGTCTCAAGGCGGCTTGCCCAGTCTCTGATGAGTTCGCCCTCTTGTACCCAGTGCATGGCGCCTCTCATGACCTTGACTGTGTACACGGGGTCAACAATGACCCCCTCTTCTTGCGCTATCAACGCCAGGATCTCCTTGGATGTCGGATCCAGCTCTCCGTAGGCTGTGCCAGCAAATCGATCGTCTAAATGGACATCTTCCGGTGTGACGTCCCGCTCAGGGTCTAATCCAATGAGGCGTGCCGCACGCCGGGCAAAGTTGAGCACTCGACCTTCATGATATTCTCGCGGCTTGGTAGGGGAAGTCAAGATCCCGATGACCTTACGACCAATGACCCTCTCTTCCTTTTCCTCCTGTCGTGTCTGAGCCTCGATTTTCTGCAGTAACTTGAACCCCGCAATCAAGCCTCCCACGGTACTCCCACTCCCGCACGCAACAAAAATATATTCGAACCGGCCATTGCCCCCTAATTGCTCCTTCTCCTGCGCCGCAATTTCAAAGGCGCACCGCGCATAGCCCAGCCCGCCTAAAGGATGCAAACTGGCCCCCGATGGAATCCAATAGGGAACCTGCCCCTGAGCACGCAATTCCTCCAGGATCGGCGTAATCGGATCCCCGTCATCCACCGTCGAGCTATTCTCGAGCATCCGCACCTCGGCGCCTAGAAGCCGGGCAATTTGCACGTTCCCCGTGCGTAGAAAGGCATTCTTATCTGAACTAGCAGTTAAGCCGCCTCCTGTAGCTTTATGGAGAATAACAATTGCCTCGAGTCCGAGGCGTCGCGCTACCGAGGCGACTTGCACTGTATGGTTGCTTTGGATAGCACCCTCGGTCACCAAGGTGGTGATGGCCTTTGCTCCTGATTTTTCCCCGAGTCCATGCGGGCTTGAATTAGCCAGGATCTCAGGGACGATGTACTCGAGTTTGCGGTACTTGTTGCCTGCACAGGCGAGTGGGGAGGAATGGTCTTCGCGCTTGGCGAAGAGGGAGACTGCGGGGGCGGCTTTGGGGTTGGGATTGAGATATCTGGTTAATGCTGAGAGAGGATGAATGGGGGAGGGAGAGGGATATAGAAGAGGGTATCTGGGGAGCTTTGCGAATGTTTCTGGGAGAGAAAAGGACATGTTGATGAGTGGGTTGGTTTGTTGATTTGGAGGAGAGATGTGATGTAATGGGGGAAGTATATATTGTGCTCGGAGCAGGAGCATCCTATATAGAGCTTGAACTCGAGGCCGGTATCAACAACCGGGTCCCATAACTCAGTCGGTTAGAGTGCTGAGCTAATAACTCAGAAGTCGAGAGTTCGAGCCTCTCTGGGACCAACTCTTTTTGCATTCTTTTTAAGCCGGCCTGGTTGCAGGGACGGCGCTGATTTGGTCTCATTTACCTTTGGTTTTTTCTTTTTGATTTTGTTATCAATTAACTTTATATGCTGTTGTATCCAATGACCAAGTCAGGGTATGTACGAAGTAACCGCATCATTGCCGACCCCCATTTAAGTATTTCAGCAGGGCATTCCCGGCTCAACGTCATTTCTATATACATGAAGCTATACGAGGATTCCCCCTGCATATCTACAAATATATAGATTCTCCCATGCTGTATTTTCTCGGCTCGATGAGGCCCGTGTTGGGGCATTATCGAGTCCGTCACTGAGCCGCTTTATAAAGCACCTGAAATGGGGGTCGGCGGTGAGACCGTACGGTGATATTCTGCCAATGGATACGGAGATATATATTTCTTATCGCTTATCACCATCACCAAACGTCACCGTCAACACCGCGGGGAACAAACATCACACAAATCCACACAATGGCTAATAATTCCGAGCACACTCTTTTCCGGTTCTTAAAAACCGCCCTGCAGACACATCGCCAGTTTCTTTCCGGCGCATTGACACGCGCAGAAGCACCCGTCTACGTCATCGGCAATCCCGCCGCGGACCTCGACTCTATTATCTCCGCGATAACCTACTCATACTTCGCCAACAACACTGGCCGGCACCATGTTCCCCTGATAAACCTACCGAATGTTCCATCGGGCTCTGAACTGCGCCGATTGCGACCGGAATTTGTCAAAGCATTATGGTTGTCAACTCACCCCCCCGCGCGAGGCGAACAAGCATGGGAGGAGACACCCGAATCAGCCGGGGTGATCCTCCACGACCATATCCTCACCGTGGCGGATTTTAATGCGCACATGAAAGAGAATGGAAAGGATAATGAAGAATACCAGATAAGCGCCGACGCGGTCCTCGTAGACTGGAATGCGCTGCCGATCGGCACACAGAAAGGAAAGGGTAGTCTAGACGGGCTGCCGACGGTTGAATTCAACGTGATAGGTTGCATTGATCACCACCAAGATGATGGATTCCTTAGTCCCGGGATCGAACCAAAAGTCATTGAGAAGAGCGGGTCCTGCGTGTCGCTTGTTATACACACGCTGAACAAACGGGGAATATGGCCGGAGGGGAGAGCAGAAGAAGCCCAAATACCATGGATGGCGGCCGAGGAACAAGTAGCCTCGCTTGCCGTAACTCCCGTTCTAATTGATACCACCAATCTCACAGCGAAAGACAAAGTCACCCAATTCGACATCCAGGCTGTGGATTTCCTGACACCCAAATTCAACAAGGATGTGACTGACAAGGACAAGCTCTATGCACAAGTCCTCGAGGCCAAGCAAAACAGTCTGGATCTTTTGACGGTCGATGAGATCCTGGGTCGAGACTACAAACAGTGGACCGAGACGTCTCCTCGCGAACCAGGAACACCCCTTAATATCGGCTTCTGCTCTATGGTCAGGTCGATCCCGTGGGTTGTTCGGAAGGCAGGATCTCCGCAAGAGTTCCTGGATGCAGTGTATGGATTTGCCGCCAAACGGGAACTGAGCATTGTCGTTGTCATGGCGGCGTTCAGTTCAAGTGATGGCAAGTTTCATAGGGAGTTGTTTGTATGTGCGCGTGACGAGGGCCTTGCAGTTGATGCACTGAAGAACTTTGTTACGCGGTCCAGCTCCCAGTTGGGTCTTGAGGAATGGTCTTCTGTCGATGGTGACGAAGGTGGTCTGTCGGATGCTATGAAGGACACTCTTAATAGTGACGATACCCACAAGTGGAGGCATATCTGGACGGCAACGGATACTACAAAGAGCAGGAAGCAGGTTGCTCCGATGGTGCGGGAAGCTGTGACCTCTTTGAGATAGAGACTAATTGGATAGACATCGAATCGTTAGAAGTACATTATCATTCTTTCTCATTGGACCTAACAGCGTTACAAATACATCTATTCCACGCAATGATCTGAGAAGACGTTTGCACTGACGCCTCTCCAAGTCTAGGTAAACAGCGTCCAAATCTAACCGCTAAGCCTGGTGCCCAACCATCCAACATGCCTCAGATAATGTGTAAAAGGAAAATATAAAAGGGAAAGTAAACAAAATGGATAATCACATGTTGAACACCAGCTCCATCGAATTGAGAATATACCCGCTAACTCCCATATATGTCGTAACCTGAACACATGATGCTGCCCCTCTAGGGTAAGCCTGACCAAATCAAATGAACATTACTTGATGCAACCATGCAGGACCCCAACCCCGACTCAGATAATGCAATGCATGCAACCGTGAAGCAAGGAGCGCAATGAGAAAAGAAAAAGAACATATTAAAGGAAATTGGACCAGTTTGCTCTCTATTGTTGAGGATCGTCTGGAGAAAAATCATCGGACTTGGGGTGAAGCAAGATCAGGATATCAAAAAGTATTCCATGAACATGACTGATAAGCGAGATTCAGTCAGGAATACTCCAGATTCTAAAAACATTCCCATTCACAGAAGACACACCACCGGGCGACACGATCTGCGAGGACCAAGCCTCTCCAGGTTCCCCGCTCCCCAATCTTGATGACCGTTTCCCAGACACTACCGTCCGCTGTAGCATCGGTGCCTGATTCGGCATTGGGGTTGGCACTGATCATGTGGTCGGCTTTCCGAGTCAACCGCAGGATCTTGCCTGATGGCGACTGTATCGCTAATTTGGCCGGCTTCTCCCGCCCGGAGGCCGACCGACCTGAAGAGATAGCTGACGTCGACGCGGAGAACTCGTTGGAGACGGTGGACACAGAGGACCCACCGGCAGAGCTGGAGACCATGCTAAGTGCACTAGCGGGTCGAGAAAACACGGACGGAGAGATTCGCCCACTGACACCTGCTTCATTGCTCGTTGACGAAGACGACGTGGAGGATGGATGCTGCCGTACGGCGAAGACGAAGGTATTGTTGACCGCAAGCCTTGCACACTGGGGCTGCATGATATACAAATCATGACGCTGGGCATGAGGGGTTGGATGACGGAGCACGAAATCATAAGGTGGATTCTCCCCAGTATGGACAATTGGGAGAGCGAGGGCTAGAGGATGTGGAATATCCCGGCTGGAGTGCATCAGCCCTTTCTTTCCCGCATACACCTTGAGCGTGCCCTGTCCTTCGTCGCCTGGTAAGATAGCTTTGACAGTGATACGCTTTTGACCGCTGACCCAGTCGGGCTGAACCAGGGCACGCTTGCGTACTATCTCTCCACTTTCGAAGAAGTCACCATCTGCGTCCCGGGCGAAAGCGGGAGCTTCGAGTTCAGCGGCGCACTCTACATCTGGCGGTACGAATAGACGGATCTGTAAGACCTCGAGACCCTCAATTCGGACAACGCTGGTATCGTAATCAGGAAACTGCAGACCCATCTTGAAGTATGTTGGACAAGTGGTAGGCAGAGCAAGAAGCACATCGGGGGAAATGGGAGGGCAGATGTGTTGTTCCTCATGAGAAAGAGGTACATGCGTATAGCAGATCTCAAGAGGACGGGCGAGGAAATACCAACTTTCTGCCGAGGAAGGATTGTTGGTAACGAATTGACTCCTCCGCGGGTTGGTTGGGCTTGCTAACGAACAGTCCATGATGCGCCATTCACCATCAACCAGTACAGCGTTCCACCAATGATTGGCTCGGGATAGGCTATCTAGCTCAAATAGTTCGCCAGGAGACTTAAGATACCCTTTAATTGCATCGGCGTGCAAGCCAACCGCGGCACACATTTCTCTCACGAGGAATGCAACTTCTTGAGGACTTCCCCTTTTTGTCTGCAGTACCCGCTTGAGGTCCATTCCGACTTCTTCAACAGGTTCATCCCAAGCAATCTTTTCACTAACCCAAGTAAAGATGGCGCGAAGCCTTTGAACATCACTCTTGTAAGGCCGACAGACATACCCTTGCGCGAGACTCATAGGGTTGGTCATTGGGGGGAGGCTGTTCACGAAGCGAGCACTCTTGTCGACAAGAGAGAGATTGACGGACCCAAAATTGGTAGGTTCACTGATTGGTAAACCATCAATGCTTTCATCGCCCTCAGCGGTCTCATAGAGCTCCTCTACCGCATAAATAACTGGATAATCCATCATATGGCACCGCTCAACTCTCTCCATTCTTTCGTTTCGACTGGGAGAGCTTGCTCGGTTTACATCGCGCCGCACTTGGACCCAATCGATACCATTACTGCCGAGTCCCATCTCTCGAGCAGTGTCACGGTGGGAGTGTGAAGAGCGGATTGGAGAAATCGCTCTACCCTTCGTAGGTGAATAGGACCCGCCATTTTGCCCCACTGCGATGCTGCTTCTGGCATTGGCGGCACCGGTCTTTGCGGATTCAAAGATCTTTTTGAAAAACCCTTGTTTCTTGGCTTTGGGGGTGGAAAGACCTCCGAATACTCCAGCAGACTCCTCGGGTCCAGTGCCCGAAGGCGACCAGGGAACGGCTGACGAAGCGCCCTGTCGAGAGGTATTATGACTCGAATGATACGATACTCCGGTTAGGGGGGTTTCGGGCCGCACAACTTTTGATACATCACTGAAGCCTCTTGTGCGGAAAGTGTCCAGTGCGGTATTGGGTCGCTCATTTGCTCCGGTTCCTCTCCGGGCATAACTCCCTGCGCTGGTCGCACTAAATCCGCCGGCTGATGGACCACTCATCAGGCTCTGACTGGTTCTTTCGGTGCTAGTTGTTATGTTGGTACCGTTACTCTGCACCCCACTCGAAGAATTTGTAGTACTCGACTTATTAGTGTAGCTCCGGTTGAGCATCTCCGCTCTCATGTCTTGCCCAGAACGGCGGTTCTTCAGATAGGGATACTGGGCCGGAATGGAGTTATGTCTCCCGTGGTAAGGAACATTTCGGGGAGGTGGCGGAGGAGGTTCCTCATCATCCTCTGGCATTTCTATATCTTCAGATCCTCTTCGGCTTTGCTCCTGCATTTGACGAAGCCGGCTTTCCATCCTTTGCACGTAGTTGTTCAACTGTGGAGGTCCGTCAAGGAAGTGGTCCTGCGCGTATACGCTGCTCCTATGTGGCTGGCCACCATGATACTGATACTCCTTTTCACCATCAAATCCCAATGAGGTCAATGGGCGATTCATGATCTGCAAAGATCGACTGTCCCGTAGACTGTCATAAGCATCTGGTGACCATGGGTTATCAAACATCGGTTGAGGAGATGACGAATGAGTCTCTCGGGACATGCCCATATCCTCTAAAGAGGTCATGACATCTTCCATTGCATCTCGCAGGGGAGAGGGTGTA